CGGGAAGGGGGAAGGACAACAAACGCACACACACAAGCAGCAGTTTGTGCTATCGTCTTCTTGTCGTACGAGCAACAATGAGCAATTTCACATTCAGGTGGGTCAGGCCACAGATAACCACGTGACAGGAGCAGCAGCGGAGTAGTGTATCAGTCATCATCGCCGTAAAGTCTCCTTCTTCCGTATTTGTGGATCGGGGGCATTGCGTCGTTACATGTTGTGTGCGGTCTGTTTTGGCCGTAATAATATTTTTATCTTTTTTGGGTTAGATCGCGTAAGTATGAATGTCTCGTTAAACCCGCCGCCGCCGCCACCACCACTCGACACTGCCAATCAGTAATGGGTTTGTCACGTAAACAAAACGCGCCGAATAGTTCACTAGTTCAGCACCAACCGGTCTGCGTGTTGGGCGAGTAAAACCCACGACACACACATTTACAATTCGTGTACCGCGACGTTTCGCCGGTAATTACAAACGACGACAACCACCACCAGCATCATCAGGCGACAGCCACAGTTGGTCTACTTGAGATGACCGCAGTCGCACGCTCACTGGAGAAAGTTTGATTTTAAGAAGTCACGCGCTACGAAAGGAGGGCCTCTTGCCCGACACGTCGCCAATTTCGCTTTCTCCTTTGAGAGGCCGCGAGCGAGCCGTCGTTAAATTCGACGGTGGACGTGTTGCGTTGGAGGCAGAGGTCGCAACCGGGTACCCGATACCCGTACCCTACCCGATACCTGGCTACCCGTACCCGGCTGGGTATGGGTAGCCGTTTGCGACCCTGGTGCGGCCGGGTACGGGTAAGGAATAAAAACCCGTTTGCGACCTCTGGTTGGAGGAGAGAAAGAAAAAATGAAAGAGCTGTGTAGCCTCATCGGGCTCATCGCCTCTTACTGCCACAAGAGTTTGTTGCCGTTGGGAAAACGCCAGGTGGAAGCGAAGACCCAAGACCCCCCCACCTCACCTCCCCCCCGCCAACAGTGATGGGGCATTCGAGTCGAGGCCGCTACGGACAGCGAGCGAGAGGTGGTCCCGCGGTTTGGCAAATAAAAATGATTCAAACGTATGATGCGGCATTCCATCCGAGGATCCCCCCAATGCGCCAATGCATGAAAAGCAGGAAACAAAAACCAAACTAAAGAGGGTAGCCCACCTCGGCGAGACGGCTATTCAAAACAGACTTGAATCTATCTACCGACTCCGATTGCAACGACGTCAAGCGGCACGGCGTTCCAATATCTCGAAAGCCGGTCGGGCTCGCCGAAGAGGAAGTTCAACGCGCATTCGCGAGCTCCCCTCTTCCCCACCGCCCATTCCCTTCCTCCTCCCTCTCCTCCTTCCCTACAGCTCCCTTTCGCTACCCCTCCATCGCTGGCTATCGCTCAGCAGAGGTCGCAAACGGGTTTTGATTCCTTACCCGTACCCGGCCGCACCAGGGTCGCAAATGGGTACCTGTACCCGGCCAGGTACGGGTACCCGTTAACTACCCGTACCCGAAATGAGTGACAAACGGTTACTCACCAGTGACTCACGGCCTACCCGTACCCGGCCGCACACGGCTACCTGTACCCGGCCGGGTACGGGTAACCGGGTATCGGGTAGGGTACGGGTATCGGGTATCCGGTTGCGACCTCGGTCGCTCAGTCCTCAAGACCACGTAGCGCCTAACCCCCCCCCTCGCCACCGCCATTGAAAATCGTTCTATTACTCCGTGTCGTCGTTCTTTTGTTGTTGTTACTGAGCCAAGTGGCCTTGAGTGAATGCGCTTTGTATATACGTGTAAATATAAAATAAGATATAATCGTCACACCAACCGGGTGGGTATGGGGGGGTAGGGGGGGCCGGTGCCTTTCGCCGTTACACTGAGACCTTTGCAACATCCGCTGTTTGTCGAAGGAGGGGAGGGGGGGGGGCGCTTGCGTTGCCGCGCATTGCTCGGCGGCTAAAGGTCCGACGTTTCGGTCCACGTTGCTTCGGGAGCTCCGATCATCCGAACGCGCGCGAACGCCCTCGTCGTAGGAGGAAAGAGAAGGAGGGGGGAGTCGTATGTCACGATCGCACAAAAACAAAAAAAACGCAGTACGAATTCGTGAACGGGTTTGGACGTTTTGCGTACAGGCCGCTTTGTATTACACGTACAGCAAAGACAAAAGATCCGCAAACCCCTCCGAGGATAGCCTTCGACCGGACTGTTGGGGGACAAGTGCTGTTAGTAGCGAGCAGCGAGCACCTACGAAGGCCGGCACTGTGACACACGAGACGGGGTTTGGGTGGTGGCCAGCACCGCCGCGCCCGGCCATCTTTGTCTTCCCAGCGCTGATGTATAAGACTTCACGCGGCAAAGGGCTCTTTTGGAGACCGGAGTTGATGACCTAGTTCCCCCACCAGGACCGGTTCAGATGTCGGTGGTGGCCGTGAGCGGGAATCGAACTCGGGTCGCCACTCCGCTCCCTACATTTACACACACACAAGACAAAGATCCCCCCCCCCCCCTGGTATAGCCTCAACAGACTGTTGGGGCAAGTGCTGTTAGCGAGCACCTACGAAGGCCGGCACGGTGGCACACGAAGGGTGCGGGTGGGTGGCCAGCACCACGCCCGGCCGCCTTTCTCTCCCTGGTGGCGATGTTTGGACACGTCACCCCGCTTCTCGGTGGCAGCCCCAACAGTCTGGAACGCCGTCCCTCTGCACATTCGCAGCATCACCCCTCAATCGTCTCCTTCAAGAGACACTTCAAAACTCACCTCTATAACCTCTACAATCACGCTTTCGAGTTACTCTGAGTTGCGGCCGTTACGTCCGCAAATTTGCGCGCGTTATAAATTGCATTATTATTTGAGGCCGAGTCGACCTAGGGGAGGGGCCCACCAGGCCACTGGTCCAGACAATCGTCACCGGTGTTGGCCGTGAGTGGGAACCGAACCCGGATCGCCGGGTTCGGAGCGCAGCGCCCGAACCGTCACCACTGCTCCCACAGACATGATAGCGCAGACAGAGAGGTCACCCACGTGTTCTGCAAGTCGATAAAACGCGGCCGGCACCGAGGACGCCCACATATTTGCACAAGGTGGGATATTTGCACACAGCGTTGGTGTACGGTGATTTTTTCTGCAATATTTTGCAGTCTTTTCTTGGATTTTCTGTTTGCACATAGTCACTTTAAGATGTTTTCTTGTTCATGTTTTAGTTTTTTGTTTGTTGCGGTTGCACCCGATTCAAGAGCCGAATGGCTCACATGGCTATACCTAATACATGAACTTTGAACTTTGAACGTAACGCATCGGCATCCCCCGTCGCGATGGCTCTGATCGGATAGGCGGAGGCGGATTCGATTACTCGGCGTTTGGTGAGTAGTCCCCTATCGCCCGAATGGCTGGTGGGCGCCCGCCGATTGCTTTGTGTGATTTGCTTAAAAATAAAAAAAAAAGTTATAAAAAAAAAACTACTAAAAAGGATGGGGAATTATTACGTCAGCAGCTCGGGTAAATGGGGGGGGGGGATGGTGGATGGGGGGGGGGCAGTTAGCAGCAGCTCATGAACACAGATTACGATTAGCAAGCCCCCCACAGTCGTAGGGGAAACGAAGGGTGGAGGGGCCGGGGAGAGATGGAGTCAAACCGGTAGGATTCTGGATCGCGATTCGGAGCGCGCTGGCCACTAACAACACAACCACCACCACAACCACCACCACAACCACCACCACCACCACTGTGCCAACATCCCCGCCCCCCCCCCAAAAAACACAATATAATACGATAATCAGATTGTTACTTTTTCTTTTTTTAAACGGCAGAACACAGGATTACATTGGCGTTAATTTACTTACTCCGGAGTAATCAATAAATGTGAGAAATATTATTATCTTCCTCGGGTCACCCTCCCAATCGCCGGCGTGTCTTTGCATTCACACGCACATCGGCAACATGTACACACGCGCTCGCTCACCCACGCTCACCCACGCTCACCCACGCTCACCCACGCTCACCCACGCTCACCCACGCTCACCCACGCTCACCCACGCTCACCCACGTTCACCCACGTTCACCCACGCTAACCCACTCACCCACGCTCACCCACGCTACCCACGCTCACCCACGCTCACCCACGCTCACCCACGTTCACCCACGTTCACCCACGCTAACCCACTCACCCACGCTCACCCACGCTACCCACGCTCACCCACGCTCACCCACGCTCACCCACGTTCACCCACGCTAACCCACGCTCACCCACGCTACCCACGCTCACCCACGCTCACCCACGCTCACCCACGTTCACCCACGCTCACCCACGCTAACCCACGCTCACCCACGCTCACCCACGCTAACCCACTCTCACCCACGCTAACCCACTCTCACCCACGCTAACCCACGCTACCCACGCTCACCCACGCTCACCCACGCTACCCACTCTCACCCACGCTAACCCACGCTCACCCACGCTACCCGCGCTCACCCACGCTCACCCACGCTAACCCACGCTACCCCCGCTCACCCACGCTCACCCACTCTCACCCACGCTAACCCACGCTACCCCACGCTAACCCACTCTCACCCACGCTAACCCACTCTCACCCACGCTCACCCACGCTAACCCACTCTCACCCACGCTCACCCACGCTACCCACGCTCACCCACGCTCACCCACGTTCACCCACGCTCACCCACGCTAACCCACGCTACCCACTCTCACCCACGCTCACCCACGCTACCCACGCTCACCCACGTTCACCCACGCTCACCCACTCTCACCCACGCTACCCACGCTCACCCACGTTCACCCACGCTCACCCACTCTCACCCACGCTACCCACTCTCACCCACGCTACCCACGCTCACCCACTCTCACCCACGCTACCCACGCTCACCCACGCTAACCCACGCTACCCACTCTCACCCACTCTCACCCACGCTCACCCACGTTCACCCACGCTCACCCACGCTCACCCACGTTCACCCACTCTCACCCACGCTAACCCACGCTACCCACTCTCACCCACGCTAACCCACGCTACCCATGCTCACCCACGCTCACCCACGCTCACCCACGCTCACCCACGCTACCCACGCTCACCCACTCTCACCCACGCTCACCCACGCTCACCCACTCTCACCCACTCTCACCCACGCTAACCCACGCTCACCCACGCTACCCACGCTCACTCATGCTACCCACGCTCACCCACTCTCACCCACGCTCACCCACGCTAACCCACGCTAACCCACGCGCCCCGCCCAACAACTATGGCGGCGGCGGCACTGTCAACCTAGCGGAGTGGGGGTGGTGGGGGTTTAGGGGGGGGCAGCGGTGGGAGTTTCGAAATGCCCAAGGCGTCGCGCGGGGCAGGGCACCGTGACAGCAAACGTACAACAACAACAAATAAAACAACAACGCAAAATCACGTTCCTTCTTCTCCCGGATGAGCTCTCCCCGACTCCGCGCATCTTTACGCGCGCCGCCACCATGTCCGACGTTTCGCCGCCAAGCACCGTGCCGGCGGTGGGGTGGGACCTTCTTCGGTGACACCGTTCTTCCAAGCACGGTGTTTGTGTTTCCTCCTCCTCCTCTCTCCTTCCGCACCACCGAGATCGTGTTAGGGTGGGGGGAGAGCCGCGCGGTGCAACGACGGCGCCGCCTACACCGGAGGGTGGAGGGGAAGGAACGTTCCGTGCCGAGCGCTCGCCGCGCTCAAGGCTCCCGTCACGAACGCCGTCACGAACGGGCGTAGAAATCGTCGCCGTCGTCGCCAACTCAACATCGATGCCGCGCCTCCCAAGAAGAAGCGGTGTACGTCCAGAGACGCCCCCCCCCTTTCTTCGGCAGTCTTAGCCAAAGGGGTACCTACCCATTACCTCCACCCCCCCCCCCCCGGGGTGGCCCCCACCCCCCAACCTCTAGCGACGTCGCTTTGTGGTGGTTCTGTTGTTGTTGTTGTTGCCGACCAACAAAGTAATTTTGCGAGCAGTCGATTAAACCACGCCGCGGTCGAGCGACGTCGCCGGATCTCTTTTTTTAAAACGTCTTCGCTGCGGGGCGTCCGCCGCGGTCGAGTTTGTGGTTAGTACACCCGCGGTGTTAACCAGTGGGGGGGGGCGGCGAGCGGGGGGCGCGTGGGGGAGCAGGGGGGGGGGGCGGCAACCGCTGGGGCCTGAAACCGCCGAAGCCAAACGCGCCGGGGCACTCGGGGGTCAAGACCGCGGCACGAACTCTCGCAGGATGCTCTTCGCCATCACCACGTCGTTGTGGGCGATGCCCAGAGCCCGCCGGACATCCTCGAAGGAGTAGCCCTCTCCCATCAGCTTCGCGATCTCTCCGTCCATCTTCGCCTGCTGGTCTCGGCCCGGCGGTAGCGGCTCCCAACCCGCCAGGCCTGCCTCTCGACTGGCCGAGAGCGCGTGTCGATTGGCCGAGCCAGTTCCGGCGAGGCCTGCTTCCCGGCTAGCGAGGCCCCCCGAGTCCCGGTTAGGAAGGCCCATTTCTCGACAGGATCCCGTAAGGCTGGCCTCCCGACTCGTGACGGCTGCTTCTCGGACAGGTAGGCACGAGTCCCGGCTAGTTAGGCCCGAGTCCCAAGTAGGTAGGCCCGAGTCCCGGCTAGAGGCCGATGAGGCCTCGAGGGACGGGGTGAGGTTCGAGTCAACTGCCAGGCGAGGTAGAGGCTTCGGAGGCCTGGCTGGGGCCTGGTGGGCATCTGAAGGAGAGAAGGGAAAAAAACGGGGGTTTAAAACGAAATCAAATGTGACCTGTGACATAACAAGAATGAACCCCGGGGTCCGGGTGTCTCTTTCTCGAGGGTTTCATGATGACAATGACAAAGCCAATGAGTAAGCTAATGCTGAGTCTCAGGGTCAGAGTCCTGGTGAAGACTTAGGGAGACCGGGTCTCAGAATCAGAGTCCTGATTGAGATTCTGGGAGACCGGGTCTCAGGGTCAGAGTTTGGATTGAGACTCGGGAAGACTGGGTCTCAGGATCAGAGTCCTGGTGAAGACTCAGGGAGACCGTGTATAGTAGTGTAGTGTATAGTAGTGTAGTGTATAGTATAGTAGTGTATAGTGTAGTGTATAGTAGTATATTGTATAGTGTAGTGTATAGTGTAGTATACTAGTACAGCACTAGTGTATAGTGTAGTGTATAGTGTAGTGTATAGTAGTATATTGTATAGTGTAGTGTATAGTGTAGTATACTAGTACAGCACTAGTGTATAGTGTAGTGTATAGCGTAGTGTATAGTAGTGTATAGTGTAGTGTATAGTGTAGTGTATAGTGTAGTATATTGTATAGTGTAGTATACTAGTACAGTACACCGGTCGCGTGTTGGAGAGCCAAGCCACAACTACAGCCGGCTTCGTCAGGCGACAGCCACATATTTGTGGAGAAGTCCACCGGTGTTTCGTTCCTTAAACATTCACTGGGTGCGAACGAGGCTGTCACCCTTGCCTGGGAGGCTGGCGGGGGGGTCAGTGTCGGCCGTGCCGGGTCCCACGGTGGGGGTCCAGGTGCCCTCGGGAAGGTCCCGGTGGCTCAACACGGCGGGGACGGGCGACGGGAGGAGGTCGTAAGGGCTCTCTGTACGTACACACACACACACAGGCACAAAAGACGAAGATTCCCCCGCGTAGCCTTAAGGGGAGCCATGGTGGCTAGGAGATGTTAACGGCATCGTCTGCTATGCAGGAGGTCGTGGGTTCTATCCAGACCCTGACGATGCCTGTTGTATATTTGGAGTTTGCGGTGTCTCTCTCTGATCATCATCACGATGGCTCGGAGATGTTAACGACATCGTCTGGTATGCATGAGGTCGTGGGTTCTATCCAGACCCTGACGCCTGCTGCTGTATATTTGGAGTTTGCGGTGTCTCTCTCTCATCATCATGGTGGCTAGGAGATGTTAACTACCTCGCCTGGTCTTCAGGAGGTCCTGGGTTCGATCCCGACCCTGACGATGCCTGTTGTATATTTGGAGTTTGCGGTGTCTCTCTCTCTCTCTCATCATCATCACGGTGGCTAGGAGATGTCAACGACATCGCCTGGTATGCAGGAGGTCGTGGGTTCTATCCAGACCCTGACGATGCCTGCTGTATATTTGGAGTTTGCGGTGTCTCTCTCTCTCTCTCATCATCATCACGGTGGCTAGGAGATGTCAACGACATCGCCTGGTATGCAGGAGGTCGTGGGTTCTATCCAGACCCTGACGATGCCTGCTGTATATTTGGAGTTTGCGGTGTCTCTCTCTCTCTCATCATCATCATGGTGGCTAGGAGATGTTAACTACCTCGCCTGGTATACAGGAGGTCGTGGGTTCTATCCAGACCCTGACGCCTGCTGCTGCATATTTAGAGTTTGCGTGTCTCTCTCTATCTCCCCTTGGTCACGTGGATTTTTCTCCAGGTCCTCCGGTTTTTCCCTCTGCATGTAGAATCAACATCTGGCTGCTATAAAGTTCCACGTGATGATGATAAGTCCACTTCGTTGAGCTACGATTTGTGATTGCCAGGTCGCTTCTGAAACAGAGCTACATAGCTCAGTGGGGCCTCAACTGGTAAAATAAAAAAAACGTTTAGTTTAATTGTTTAACAAACTGTTGGGGCAAGTGCTGTTAGCGAGCAGCACCTATGAAGGCCGGAACGGCACATGATGGGATTGGTGGCCAGCACCACGCCCGGCCGTCTTTGTCTCCCTAGTGGCGATGTTTAAAAACTGCATCAAGTACTCATTTGAGGATGAGTCGACCTAGGGGAGGCTCAGGACCGGTTCAGAGAATCGTTGCTGGTGTTTGTGGCCGTGAGCGGGAATGGAACTCGGGTTGCCGGGTTTGTAGCACAGCGCGCTAACCGCTGCACCACCGCTCCTCGTACAAATATACATACACACACTCGCACACGCACTCCCCCCACACCGATCTCACCCTCTTGCGTGTGAGCCTGTGGCTGTTGCGTTGCGTCTGCAGCGCCACCTCCTGTCCGTTTGCAGACTGTGCTGTAGGTCTGGTTCGCAAAATCGGCCCTGTGTGGGAGGCAAAAGCAGAAAAAACACGCGGCGACGTCACGGCGACATCTCAGGATTGCAGGAGGCTTGATTGAATCATCAGCGCGAAGAGACCGGGTCTCAGACTCAGAGTCCTGAGTGAGACTCAGGGAGACCGGGTCTCAGAATCAGAGTCCTGATTGAGACTCAGGGAGACCGGGTCTCAGGGTCAGAGTCCTGATTGAGACTCAGGGAGACCGGGTCTCAGAATCATAGTACTGATTGGGACTCAGGGAGACCGGGTCTCAGGGTCAGAGTCCCGATTGAGACTCAGGAAGACCGGGTCTCAGGGTCAGAGTTTGGATTGAGACTCGGGGAGACCGGGTCTCAGGGTCAGAGTCCTGATTAAGACTCAGGGAGACCTGGTCTCAGGGTTAGAGTCCTGATTGGGACTCGGGGAGACCGGGTCTCAGGGTCAGAATTTGGATTGAGACTCGGGAAGACCGGGTCTCGGGGTCAAAGTCTTTCAAAACAAGATTAGGATTTCACAGTTTCTTTTACTTTATTTGCCCAGTGGAAAGGTGAGCGACAGCCGATAGGAAGCGCCCCCACGCGTGTCGCATTTCCAACGCGCCAACTTGTCAAGGCGAAGGCAAGCGGTTGCCTTTTTTGTTGTTGTGACCCAAGTCAAACGTAGATAATGGGCCAGGGTCTACCAGAGGTCGCAAACGGGTTTTGATTCCTTACCCGTACCCGTACCCGGCCGCACCAGGGTCGCAAGCGGGTACCCGTACCCGTACCCTACCCGATACCCGGCTACCCGTACCCGGCCGGATACGGGTAGGGTACCCGATTGCGACCTCTGGGATGAAGCCATGTTGCAGGCGCGGGTGGGTTGATTCTAGGAACTTGAATTGTGAGAAGAGACAAGACGTTGGGAAATGAGTGACAAACGGTTACTCACCAGTGACTCACGGCCTTCTCACTCATTGGTTGGGGTGAGTCACGTGCGGCTAGCCGTACCCGGCCGCACCAGGGTCGCAAACGGGTACCCGTACCCGGCCGGGTACGAGTAGCCGGGTATCGGGTACGGTACGGGTATCGGGTAACCCGCTTGCGACCTCTGGGGTCTACCCACTGCTCCGTGTAACCCCTTGACCCCGCGCCATCATCACCGCACCCCTCCTCCCTCCGCCAGCGTAGGAAAAAAACAGAGAACCGGACGAAAGCGCCTCCCGCAGACCTCCGTCCCACCGACACTGTGGAATCGTCCCCACGACCTCCTGTATACCAGGCGAGGTAGCTAACATCTCGCCACCATGGGATCAAACCGACGACCTCCTGTAGACCAGGAGAGGTAGCTAACATCTCGCGACTGTGGGATCGACCCCACGACCTCCTGTATACCAGGCGAGGCAGCTAACATCTCGCCACCGCTTGCGAGTGGGCGCGTGGGGTTCTGTGTGGGCAAGCACCTGGGGCAGGAGGCGCCCCACACAGCAGCAGCAGCGGCGGCAGCAGCGGCGGCGGCGGAGGTCGGCACAGACGGCGGCTCCACCACCTCTGCTCCTTCGGGCATCTCCCGCTCATCCGGGCACACGCTGAGCCAGAGGGAACACACACACACACGCTGAGTCAAGGGGAACACACACACACACACTGAGCCAAGGGGAACACACACACACGCTGAGCAAAGGGTGACACACACACACGCTGAGCCAGAGGGAACACACACACACGCTGAGCCAGAGGGAACACACACACACACGCGCTGAGCCAAGGGGTAACACACACACACACACTGAGTCAAGGGGAACACACACACACACACACTGAGCCAAGGGGAACACACACACACACGCTGAGCCAGAGGGAACACACACACACACGCTGAGCCAAGGGGAACACACACACACACACGCTGAGTCAAGGGGTAACACACACACTGAGCCAAGGGGAACACACACACGCTGAGTCAAGGGGTAACACACACATGCTGAGCCAGAGGGAACACACACACACACGCTGAGTCAAGGGGTAACACACACACACTGAGCCAAGGGGAACACACACACACACTGAGTCAAGGGGTAACACACACACGCTGAGCCAGAGGGAACACACACACACACGCTGAGTCAAGGGGTAACACACACACACACACTGAGCCAAGGGGAACACACACACACACTGAGGCAAGGGTGACGCGCACACACACACACGCTGAGCGAAGGGGAACACACACACACACGCTGAGCCAAGGGGGACACACACACACACGCTGAGCTAAGGGTGACACACACACACGCTGAGCAGTGGGAACACACACACACACTGAGCCAAGGGTGACACACACGCGATGTAGCAAGGGGTAACACACACACACGCTAAGCCAGAGGGAACACACACACACGCTGAGCAAAGGGTGACACACACACACGCTGAGCCAGAGGGAACACACACACACGCTGAGCCAGAGGGAACACACACACACACGCGCTGAGCCAAGGGGTAACACACACACACACTGAGTCAAGGGGAACACACACACACACACACACTGAGCCAAGGGGAACACACACACACGCTGAGCCAGAGGGAACACACACACACGCTGAGCCAAGGGGAACACACACACACACACGCTGAGTCAAGGGGTAACACACACACACTGAGCCAAGGGGAACACACACACACACGCTGAGTCAAGGGGTAACACACACACACACACTGAGGCAAGGGTGACGCGCACACACACACACGCTGAGCGAAGGGGAACACACACACACACGCTGAGCCAAGGGGGACACACACACACACGCTGAGCTAAGGGTGACACACACACACGCTGAGCAGTGGGAACACACACACACACTGAGCCAAGGGTGACACACACGCGATGTAGCAAGGGGTAACACACACACACGCTAAGCCAGAGGGAACACACACACACGCTGAGGCAAGGGTGACACACACACACACGTTGAGCCAAGGAGAACACACACACACACACTGAGCCAAGGGGGGGGGTAACACACACACGCGTGCGGGTCAGAGACAGAGATCCCCCGCGTAGCCTTAATGGAGCGTGGGGGGGTGGATGTGGGGGGGGGGTGGATGTGGGGGGGGGTCGAGATGGGGGGGGTGGAGGTGGGGGGGTGGAGGTGGGGGGGTGGAGGATGTGGGGGGGGGGGTAAGTGCTGTTGAGTAATTTGCCTCGCGTGGAATTTGATGGCGAGGCCGATAGGAAGCAAAGTCCGCTCACCGGTTAACCATGATGCAAAATAGACGCCAACACCCCCCCCCCCCCCCCCCGCATGGCGTGCCTGCATAGCCTGCATAGCCTGCATACCTGTACGGTTTGCCCCGTATTCTTGTGCAGGGAAATTGGGTTATACGGCGTACGGCCGTTTCGATACGGGCAAAAAAGAATAACAATAAAAAATCGTCTAGGTTTTTTCGGTAAAGTCATGTAGGTAAAAAATTTAATTAAAATTAATGAAAGTAATAAATTTAGCTGCGACGGTCCCACCTGATGACGGAGACTTGTGTTGCCTCCGAAACGTCGTGATTTATTATTTTATTTTATTTCTTTTATTAATTTGAATTTAATTTTTTTACCTACGTGACTTTACCGAAAAAACCTAAGAGTATGAATCCTTGCAGTCACGAAAGCTTCAAATCTAGAAAGAAAAAATCGTCTATTTGTTTGTGTTTCTCTAACTTGTGATGGGACTTTGAGATTCATCAGGGGCACGGGGTGACCAATAAAATCTGAATTGGTCTGTAATAAGGTCGGGCACTATTGGTACCTCATTTGCCAGTAAAACAGTATAATTGTTTTTTTTACCCTTTTATCTGGCAACAAAAATTTTTTTTCATATTTTTTACTGGCAAATGAGGTACCAATGGTGTAAATGCTTACCCCGAGCTCTCATACTCTGATGGTGCATTGTCTTTGAGTGTGCTCGCCCTTCAGCGAGCACCTATTAAGGCCGGCACGGCACACAAACATTGAGGGGGTGGCGTGCCCAACACCACGTCCGGCCGCCTTTGTCTCCCCAATGCTAACAGCACTTGACCCAACGTCCTTCTGTGTGGGCTACGCAGGGAGGACCCTTTGGCAGTGCACAGGCACACGCGTGGTTGCGGTGCACTGGGGGAGACTCACATCAACACCGTGGGCTGTGCTGGGGGTGCCGTGGGCAGCTCGTAGTCATTGAAGCTTTGAGGGCACAGCTTCCCCTGCGCACGCAACACACGGAACACACACACACGCAACACACAACACATGCAACACACGCAACACACGCAACACACGCAACACACAAGCAATACACACACGCACAACACACACACACACGCCCAACACACACACACAACACACACACACAATACACACCACACACACACACGCCCAACACACACAATACACGCACACACACAATACACACCACACACACAACACACAAAACATCTCAGTGCTCATAAAGAAAAAATATTTGAAAATCACGCAATTGGGATCGCACGCAGCAGCAGCAATCATCGCCCCCCCCGGACTTCAAAAGCCTGGCAGGACCCTCTTGAAAAAAGTCTCGAGACTCGGCGAGGCCTTACTGGGTAAGACAAGCGTCGCATGAATCGGCTGATGACGCCTTAATACCGACGAATGTTTCCCAGAGCTTGGACGATTGTTCGTGCCATCTCGATCGTGTGGCTGCCTTCCGCTAGCCCGCGGGTCCTCCTCCCCCTCCTCCTCCTCCTTCTCCTCCCTCCCCCCCCTCCTCCCTCCCTCCCTCCCTCCCCCTCCCTCCCTTCCTCCCCCTCCTCCTCCCTCCCTCCCCCTCCTCCTCCCTCTCTCCCTCCCTCCCCCTCCTCCTCCCTCCCTCCCTCCTCCCAGCGTCTCTGAGTCGCCCTCCCTCCCCCTCTCTACGTGAGCAATGAGCGGGCACCGTGCGGCGGCGGCGGCACAAATCGAAATAATTATCGTTATTATTACTAGATAGATAGATCGTTTATTGTCATTGTCACCAGTACAACGAAATTTAAAATGCTCACCAGTCAGGGCATCATTCATAAATTTAAATTAAATAAAACAATAAAAATTAAATTAAATGAAAGATAATCAATTTATACTATATATAAAAAACAGCCCAAGTATACCCACATACCCACTAACGTAATTGCATGCATGTTGTACTTATGCTGATCTTCTTTCGCACCGCCGTACTTAGCCAACCGCGCTAATTGGAGATGCGCTGGGGGGGGGGGGGGGGGCGGGCAAGTGAACAAACTAACACACAACAACAAGCAGATCTTGGCGATTTAAAAGTGCACCGTAGCTCCCAGTGGCTTCCCAACATCGTAAGGAAGAAGAAGCGTGTTCCAGACGGCCGCAAGGAGCAGCGGTGACCACCGCCTTTGTTCGGACGGCAAGCCGGCATCGGCGTCGCGAGGATGACCGGAGCTCGCCATCCCAACACGAAAGGTAGAGGCGGGAAAGGCCTCGCAAAACTCACCTGAGCCGGCTGCTGCTGCTGCTGCTGCTGCTGCTGCACGCCCGCCGCGGTACCAGCCGCGGTGCACGCAGCCGCCGCGGCGGTGCCACCCACGCGGCCGCAGGGCGAGGCCCTTCCGGCCGAGTCCGCGCCGGCCGGCTCCGACCCCGCCCCGCTCGCCGGCGGGGTCGGAGGGACGGGCCGGGACGGGGGTGGCGGCGGCGGCGGATGGACGGGAGGCAGCTCGTGGAACTCGTGGTGGAACATCTGGGCGGTCGGGAAGGAGCCGGGGGCGACTTCGAAGTGGTAGGAGCGCCGCTGGTGCGACGAGGACGACGACGAGGAGGAGGAGGACGACGAGGAGGACGTGGCGGACGACGTCGGGCAGAGGGAGGCGGGGAAGGAGCAGGAAGAGGGCATCGGGGGCGGTGCGCCGTGGTGGTGGTGGTGGTGGTGATGGTGATGGGGGGGTGCGGTAGTTGCCGTTGCCGCTGAGCAGCCACCCGGCTGGTGGTGGCGGGGGGCACGGGGGGTCACGGCCGGAGGGAAGGCATCGGGTTTGCGATCGGCGTTCGGGGAGCCCTGATGGGGAGGAGAGGGAGGAGATAGAGATGCGTCAACACGTCATCAATTTAACACGTAGTAATAGTAGTAGGGCTTTCGCGGTCAATATTATCCATGAGGGTTTATTGGGTGAGGTCGCGTGAATATAAACGTGTCGTTAAAGCCTCCACCACCCGACACAGCCAATTAATTATTAAGGGTTTGTCCCGTAAACAGAAAGTGCCAATTCGTAAATTCACAGCATTTACAATCCGAGTAGTCAAATTGTGAATGTTGTGGATTTGCTCTCCAACACACCGGTGTGCTGTACCAGTAACGAATTGCCATGCTCTGTTTACGTGACAAACCTTACTAAGTTCAAGTTCATGTATTAGGTATAGCCCTGTGAGCCATTCGGCTCTTGAATCGGGTGCAACCGCAACAAACAAAAAACAAAAACATGAACAAAAAAACATCTTAAAGTGAATATGTGACTGAGTGCAAACAGAAATCCAAGAAAAGACAGCAAAATATTGCAGAAAAAAATCACCGTTACACACCAACGCTGTGTGCAAAAATCCCAGTGGGATGCAAGTCAAACAACAACCACCAAAAGACAACTTAGATTAAGGCCATCAGTCTAACTCCGTACTACAACAAACCAACATGGCTAAACAAATACACTTTTCGAAATCACCAATATAAAGCCATGAAAGCAATGAAACAGTGATCATAGGAAGTGTGACGTAATTTTCACAATAAATTACATGAACAACATGTACTACCAACACCCTGCAGCCATAGCTGGCTGCATGAGTCACTCCACAACAGCAGGAGCATCAGTCGGAGTATTCAAATTTTTCAATGCACCTTTAAGACCAGCGCACGAAATCAAAACACAGATCATACTTTGCAGCGATCATCCGGACACTGGCAGCTGTGTCGGGTGGTGGCGGGTTTAACGACGACACTTTTATATTTCGATTTAAAGCTTTCGTGACTGCAGGTATTCATCTTCTTGGTTCTTTCGGTAAAGTCACTTAGAAGGGAAATAATAAAATAATAAAAATAAAACATAATAAAATAATTCTCACGACGTTTCGGCTGCAACGCAAGCAGCCGTCCTCAGGTGAAGAACAGGTCTGTCGATAAGACAGCGTCTGAATGAAATTTCTTCACCTGAGGACGGCTGCTTGCGTTGTAGCCGAAACGTCGTGAGGATTATTTTATGTTTTATTTTTATTATTTTATTATTTCCATCCTACTTGACTTTACCGAAAGAACCAAGAAGATGACACTTTAATATTTACGCGATCTAACCCAAAAAAAAACCTCGATTATGGACAAGATTTCATCATACCCCATTCGTTCACACGTCTCCATTGAAATGAATGGCGACTCTGAGAGAGCCCAGGAATTATGAATGGAATCCCCAACTCGCTTCCATCGCAATACCGAGCAGTAACTACTGCACCTCCGCTCAAATGAATGGGAATTCTTGAGTGGCGATTCCAATGATTGCCGCTAGAGGGCGAACCGATCGTTAATAGCCCAGGGGTTGACCACATGCATTGCACAGAGGACTCCCTCTGCTTACGAACGAGGCCTGTTCGTAAGTCGATTCGTTCGTAAGTCCAACTTTACTCCTGTCGATTCCAAACGCGTTGTACGGCGTGTACACTAAACACGGGGAGTAGCTTTAAAAGTTGTATAATCTCCTGTAGATGCAGATGCCACTGGTTCTTCACGTTCTGCAGACGTAGACGCCACTGGTTCTTCACTTTCTGCAGATGTAGATGCCACTGGTTCTTCAAGTTCTGTAGACGTAGACGCCACTGGTTCTTCACTTTCTGCAGATGTAGATGTCACTGGTTCTTCACGTTCTGTAGACGTAGATGCCACTGGTTCTTCACGTTCTGCAGATGTAGATTCCACTGGATCTTCACGTTCTGCCGACGTAGATGCCACTGGATCTTCACGTTCTGCAGATGTAGATGCCGCTGGATCTTCACGTTCTGCAGACGTAGATGTCACTGGTTCTTCACGTTCTGTAGATGCCACTGGATCTTCACGTTCTGCAGACGTAGATGTCACTGGTTCTTCACGTTCTGTAGATGCCACTGGTTCTCCACGTTCTGCAGACGTAGATGCCACCACCGCCATCTATTGCGCGGAAGTTGAACTTACGACTCTCGGTCCGAACAGACAACTGGACATACGGAACAGGTTTGTTCGTGAGTAGAAGAGTCCCTGTATGCAGAATCGGAGCTACACAGCGGGAAGTACAACAAACTAAAAAAGCAGCAGGAAAAAAAATGACTGTCAATCTAGATGATGATTTCAAAGTGGCATCATAGCTCCCAGCGAAGAGCACGTTCCAGACGGCCGCAAAAGCGCTGTTAGATGGACAGCCAGAAGCCGCTGGCCATCGTGACGCTTGTTGATTCGGGACCCACCGTCTCTCGTATTCACCAAAGTTGGAATCGAGGCTCTTGAAAGACCGAGTTGTTTTTACTTTACGGGATTCGGAGAAAGAAAAAAAATGTCCCTTCCTGTTATTTTTGGTTGCCGGAAATCGCCCGCACGGGAATCAAACACGAAACTATTTTCTTCTTTAGCCATTGGAGGCAACGGGAGGAGCCAGAGGAAAGCCATGCGGAGTAGGGGGGGGGGGAGAGAACGAACAAACACACAAACACGCTTTCACGCACAATGTTTTTTCCGCACCTCCGTTGAGCTCGGTCGGCTACGTACGGTGCGAAAGAAGTTCAACGGACAGACACGCAGACAGGATCAGCTTCGAAGCTCTTTCAAGAGCAACCCGTACGAACATACACAAGACAAAAGATCCCCCCCCCCCCACCGTGTAGCCTCAACAGACCGTGTGGGGCAGGTGCTGTTTGCGTGTAGCAGCGGCACCTATGAAGGCCGGCGCTGTGGCAACGAGACTGGGTGGGTGGGGTGGACAGCGCCAAAACGCCACGGCCGCCCACCCCCCCTTCGTCGCCCCATTGCTGACGTCTGTACAAGCGGGTGCCCATTTCAGTTTCATGGTGGGTCACTCCCGGGGGGCCTTCGCTGGGCCGGATGTTGCGGTCCGTGGGCGGCCCGGTTATTAGAACCCCGGTCTAAAAATATTGCCTCGCTCCACAGATGTTGCCCATCGCTCGCACCCTCATGTCACCCCCCCCCACACCCCGACTGCGGTGAGTGTTGGAGCGTCACGGTGGCTAGGAGATGTCAACTCCCTCACCTGCTATGCGGGAGGTCGTGGATTCGATCCCGACCCTGACGCCTGCTGTTGTGTATTTGGAGTTTGCGTGTCTCTCTCTCATCATCACCACGGTGGCTAGGAGATGTTAACTACCTCGCCTGGTGTACAGAAGGTCGTGGATTCGATCCCGACCCTGACGCCTGCTGTTGTGTATTTGGAGTTTGCGTGTCTCTCTCATCATCATCACGGTGGCTAGGAGATGTTAACTACCTCGCCTGGTGTACAGAAGGTCGTGGATTCGATCCCGACCCTGACGCTTGCTGTTGTGTATTTGGAGTTTGCGTGTCTCTCTCTCATCATCAAGGTGGCTAGGAGATGTTGACTACCTCGCCTGGACTACAGGAGGTCATGGGTTCGATCCCGACCCTGACACCTGCTGCTGTATATTTGGAGTTTGCGTCTCTCTCTCATCATCATCATCACGGTGGCTAGGAGATGTTAACTACCTCGCCTGCTATGCGGGAGGCCGTGGGTTCGATCCTCACCCCCTGACGCATGCTGCTGCTGTATATTTGGAGTTTGCGTGTCTGCCTCTCAGGGAGCTACGTCCCCCCCATTTCACCCCATGCACCACCCATGTCGTCGATGCCCACACGGTCGTCCCTCGCGTCACTCCTTGGTGTCACCCCTTGATGTCACCCCTTGGTGTCACCCCTTGGTGTCACCCCTTGGTGTCACCCCTTGGTCTCACCCCTTGGTGTCGCCCCCACTCCCCTCCCATCTCACCTTGATTGAGAGCACCGGGGAGTCTGTGGGGGAGCAAGTGCCCCCCCCCATTTACCACACGATCGTCCCTCGCGTCACCCCCTCGCGTCACCCCCTGGTGTCACCCCTTGGTGTCACTCCTTGGTGTCACCCCTTGGTGTCACCCCTTGGTGTCCCCCGTCCCCTACCCATGCGTGAGAGTACTGGGGTGACCATGGGGGAACCAGCCCCACGTCCCCCACCCCACCCATCTCATCAATGCCCACACGGTCGTCCCTCGCGTCACCCCCTCACGTCACCCCCTCGACGTCACCCCCTCGGCGTCTCACCTTGGGCGAGAGTGCCGGGGAGACCGCGGGGGAGCCCCCCCCACCCCCGGCGGTGCGGGCGAGGAGGAGGAGGTCGAGGCGGGGGGGCACGGGGGGCAACTCCGACACGAGCGGTTCGGGGGGCGGCCGCCGGCGGTGCATGATGGGAGAGGTGAGCGGCGAGGGCTGCGGGGACGGCCTCTCCACCTGGGTTTGAGGGATGGGGGGGGGGCAGGGCGGGCAGGAGGGGGGGGGGGAGTAACAGCCGTGAATTAACATTAAGTCAGCACGCGATGTGTGATGATTATATTATTAATGTCAACTTGCAACGCACAGAAAACAAGAACAAGCCGCATGTGCGCGTGGGCGATGAGATAAACACACACGTGGGCACTCAACTGCACACACACGCGCGCGCGGGTGTTGAACCACACACACTCGCACGCAAGTGGGTGGGTGTTGAACTACACAAAACACACACACACGTGAGCACAACTTCACAACGCACACACACGCACGGGTGTTGAACTACACACACACACGTGAGCACTCAACTTCACAACGCACACACACACACGGGTGTTGAACTACACACACACACGCGGGTGTTGAACTACAGATACACACGCGCGCGGGCGCCAGCGTCGGGCGAAGCGCGAGTGGTGGCAGCGTTTCGGCGCGACTGGCCGTGACGATGACAACCACCACTTCCTCGTCGCCCCCACTGCCTCCGCTTGGTCAGTCAGCCGGCTTCCCGAGGGGCCGCTAGAGGGTCCTGCTGACAGCCTCCCCCCCGCATAGCTCTTTTTTTCCAGAAGCGACGCTGGCTATCACAATCGGTAGCGCGACGAAGTGGGCTCATCATCGTCGTCATCACAGTGTGGAAATGTATATCAGCATCCACGCGACCATGGGGAGAGAGACACCGAAAACTCCAAATATACAACAGCAGCAGGCGTCAGGGTCGGGATCGAACCCACGACCTCCCGTAGACCAGGCGAGGTAGTCAACATCTCCGAGCCACCGTGATGATGATGATGATGAGAGACACGCAAACTCCAAATATACAGCAGCAACAGGCGTCAGGGTTGGGATCGAACCCACGACCTCCCGTAGACCAGGCGAGGTAGTCAACATCTCCTAGCCACCGTGATGATGATGAGAGAGAGAGACACACAAATTCCAAATATACAGCAGCAGCAGGCGTCAGGGTCGGGATCGAACCCACGACCTCCCGTAGACCAGGCGAGGCAGTCAACATCTCCTAGCCACCGCGACGCTCCGACTCACCCGCGAGCGAGCAGCCATGCGGCTGATGACGAGCGACGAGGTGTCGTCGCGCGCCGACGCCATCGTCATCAGGTCGTCGTCCTCGTCGCCTTCGAAGCCCAGGTTCGACGCCGAGTCGAGGCCGCACACCCGCAGGCCGCCGTGGCCTCCCTGCGACCCCTGGCCCCCGTGACCCCCGGAGGCGAGGGCCGAGGAGGCGATGGCGGCGGCCAAAGGTCGCGACCTCTCGCCCCGCGGGTCGAAGGGGTCGACTACGATGGGCTCCGTGCCCTTGATCTCGCAGCGGCAGAACGGGCAGCCCTGCCCGTCCGACTCCTGGGGGAGCGGCGGAGGAGAGGTTGGGGAGGGGGGCAGGGCAATGGAGCGGAGGGCAGTGAAGGGGAGGGAAGGGCAGGGAAGGGGGGGGGAGAGAAGGTCACGGTCCTGCGATGCGGCAATCCATCTCAGGCCTGCACATCATGGGTGTGATCACCACGTGACCTCTCATCCCTAGGCCCGGAATTCTGGTTTCCCGGAATTGTAAATCAGGACTCTGACCCAGAGACCCGGTCTCCCGGAGTCCCATTCGAGACTCTGACCCTGAGTCCCGGTCTCCCCGAGTCTCAATCAGGACTCTGACCCCGAGTCCCCGTCTCTCCGAGTCTCAATGGAGAGTGTCTGACCCAGAGACCCGGTCTCCCAGAGTCCCATTCGAGACTCTGACCCAGAGACCCGGTCTCCCGGAGTCCGATTCGAGACTCTGACCCTGAGTCCCGGTCTCCCCGAGTCTCAATCAGGACTCTGACCCTGAGTCCCGGTCTCCCCGAGTCTCAATGGAGTGTGTCTGACCCAGAGACCCGGTCTCCCCGAGTCCCATTCGGTCTCCCCGAGTCTCACCTGCCAGGCTGTGAGGCAGCACGTGCACATGAGGTGACCGCACGGCTCTATCTTGACATCCTTGTCGTTCTCCGCGCAGATCTTGCACAGCTGGAACGTGGATCCCATCTCGCAGTACAGCTCGTACTGCTCCTGCAGGGGCCGCAAGAGGGTGGGGTGAGCGAGCGAGTGTCCACGTGTCCGCGTGTCGAGATGGGGAGCGGTGGGTGTAGCGGTGAGCTACGCTGCCCTACGAACCAGAGGTCGCAACCGGGTACCCGATACCCGTACCCTACCCGATACCCGGCTACCCGTACCCGGCCAGGTACGGGTACGGGTACCCGTTTGTGACCCTGGTGCGGCCAGGTACGGGTAGGCCGTGAGTCACTGGTGAGTCACCGTTTGTCACTCATTTCCCAACGTCTTGTCTCTTCTCACAATTCAAGTTCCTAGAATCAACCCACCCGCGCCTGCAACATGGCTTCATCCCAGAGGTCGCAATCAGGTACCCGGCCGGGTACGGGTAGGGTACGGGTACGGCCGGGTACGGGTACGGGTACCCGTTTGCGACCCTGGTGCGGCCGGGTACGGGTAAGGAATCAAAACCCGTTTGCGACCTCTGCTACGAACCAGGCTTATGACCCGAGTTCATATCCCGCTCACGGCTAACACCGGTGATGATTATCTGAACAGGTCCCTGGTCGTCCTCTAGGTGTGTAAACATCGTCACTGGGGGAGACAAAGGCGGCCGGGCGTGGTGTTGGCCACCCACCCCCTTCGTGTTGCGTGCCGGCCTTCATAGGTGCTGTGCTCGCTTAACAGCACTTTGCCCCAAAAGTCTGTGAAGGATATACCGGGGATCTTTGTCTTGTGTGTATAACTGCGTGTGTGTGTATGCATGTGTTGGGAGCGGTAGTTGTTGGGGATGACGGTAAGGCCCCAACCCTTGCAGTTGCAAGCTTCAGGTTAGTACAACAAACCTGTCAACCCACACGGTTTACCCCGTATTGTTGTACACGGAAATGGAGTTTTCAGGTCCATACGCAGTACAGCCGTTTCAACACGGGCAACAAAATAAAAAACAAAATGTGTCAATGTGTATGTTTGTGTTTCTCCCTTGTGATTGGACTTTGTAGGATGAACGTTGAGATTCATAAGGGGCACGGGGTGACCAGTAAGGTCTGAATTGGTCTGTAATCAGGTAGGGCACTGATAAGGGGTTAACAGCAATGTCTCTCCCCATCAATCTCTCTATCTCTCTCCAAACCTGTCAACCCATAAGTCATTAACAGGGGCGATCATGAGGAGTTCTACCGTACAAACATAACAACAATGTCTCGACAGCGCTCGTGCCAGGCTAGGTACACTTCGAGGCTATCACGTAAAGTGTCAAAGCCTCGCTCCGGGCAAGAGGTCACGGACACAGAATCAGGAATCAACCGACATTCATGGCCGACACACACCCGGAAATACATAAGACAGCCCATGTATACAGATGCACAAGTGGATGTGTGTATGCACATTGACACGCACACAGCTGATCGTCGTTTAGCCGGCTGCTTCCAGCATCATCTGCCCATCCCGGGCCGATCTCGCGAAACCGCGACAAACGGCCTTAACCATTCCGGCGATCATCAAACACATCGTGGTAGTGTTGAAACAGGAGCGGAGTGGAAGTAGTGCTACATACATGACCCAGTGATGCAGTCTTCGAGATTGAAGTGGTAAGTACAGTAAAATACGGTAACTTTTTACAGCAGGAAATGTATTTGTGTCTATTTATGCCAATTTCACGTAGTAAATAAATTTAAAACGATTTCACACGTAGGCTTTCGCGACCCATATCATCCATAATACAAGAGAGCAAAGCCAACACACGGGTTAGTGCTGTACTAGTAACGAATTAGCACGTTCTGATTACGTGACAAACCTTACTAAATTGGCTGTGTCGGGTGGTGGCAAATTTAATGACATATTTACGCGCGAATAAAACCTGTACTATGAAATTTTAAATGCTAAAAAAACACAAACACACAGAACACCTAAATGTGCAAAAATCATCTTTTTTTATTCTGGCGATTTTTGTTTTTAAATCCGGCACCCCCATTCCCCGTGACGCCCGTCGGATAAGCGATGATGGACTGCAGTTAATGACCCACAGAAGAACGAACCCACAGACACACAAACACGTGTGTGGCGCACACACACGCACACACACGCACACACACACACGCACGCACACGCACGCACATGCACGCACACGCACGCACATGCACGCACACACACGCACGCACACAGACAAAGATCCCCTTGTGTAACAGACTGTTGCTGTTAGCGAGTGACACTTACGAGTGGGTGGTTTGGTCAGCACCACACCCGGTCGCCATTGTCTCCCCAGTGGCGATGTTTGCACACCGCACCAGGTACACATTTGAGGCTGAGTGAACCTAGGGGAGGCCCAGGACCGGTTTCAGATAATCGTCACCGGTGTTGGCCGTGGGACGGAATCGATCCCGGGTAGTCAGGTTCGTAGCACGGCTTGCTAACCACTACCACTACCGCATACGTACGTACACACACGCGCGCACACACACACACACGGATGTCAGACGCGTATTTGACCTTACCTGCGTGACCTTTATGTGATCGTGCTGTGCGGGCTCACACAAGCCAGTTAGATCCGGATTGAGATTCCGTCCGTCCGGAAAGAGGTAACTGGCACAGACACGCGGGGGGTGGGAACGCGTCAGTGAGTGAGTGGACTGATGCGTTACGGGAGGACGTGGGGCTGAGTGGACTTGCCGACGACTGGTACCAGTAGTTTCGATTTAAAGCTTTCGTGACTGCAGGGATTCATCTTCTTGGTTCTTTCGGTTAAGTCATGTAGAAGGAAAATAATAAAATAATAAAAATAAAACTTAAATAAATAATTCTCACGACGTTTCGGCCACAACGCAAGCAGCCGTCCTCAGGTGAAGCGTCATTCAGACGCTGTCTTTCCGACAGACCTGTTCTTCACCTGAGGACGGCTGCTTGCATTGTGGCTGAAACGTCGTGAGAATTATTTTATTATGTTTTATTCTTATTATTTTATTATTTCCCTTCTACGTGACTTTACCGAAAGAACCCAAAAAGATGGTACCAGTAGTGTCAAGACCGGCCTCAGTGGAGGAGGCTCGTGAAGGACGCTACTGGGCAGTTGGAGGCAGTCGCCCTCCAACAACAACGGAGGGCGGAGGAGCGACGCTCACAACAACGAGCGGAGCGCCGGGTGGCTAAAGCACAGCAAGTTGGCACAGTAGGGGGCACAGGTGGTGCATCATACAGTCATCTCAGTCAGTCGACCCGTGGCACCTGGGTCTGCCCCGTGACCTCCTGTCAGCGAGCCTTCGACACTTCACGTGGCCTCAAAGTGCACCAGGCGCCGTGGTGACGTCACCGTCACTTAGTGGCGAATGGTCGGTGCGTCTGTGAGTGTCAGTGTGTGTGTGTGGGGAGAGGTAGTGCCAGCAGTTAGCGCCACGAACCCAGCGGCCCGAGTTCGATTCCCGCTCACGGCCACCACCGGCGACGCGCCACCGGCAGAGATCACCTGAACGGGTCCTGGGCCTCCTCCGAGGGTCGACTCGGCCTTTAAAACTATCTTTGTCTTTGTGTGCGTCCGTGCGTGTGTGCGTCCGTGCGTGTGTGCCTCCGTGCGTGTGTGCCTCCGTGCGTGTGTGCGTCCGTGCGTGTGTGCCTCCGTGCGTGTGTGCCTCCGTGCGTGTGTGCGTCCGTGCGTGTGTGCCTCCGTGCGTGTGTGCCTCCGTGCGTGTGTGCCTCCGTGCGTGTGTGCGTCCGTGCGTGTGTGCGTCCGTGCGTGTGTGCGTCCGTGCGTGTGTGCGTCCGTGCGTGTGTGCCTCCGTGCGTGTGTGCCTCCGTGCGTGTGTGCCTCCGTGCGTGTGTGCCTCCGTGCGTGTGTGCGTCCGTGCGTGTGTGCCTCCGTGCGTGTGTGCGTCCGTGCGTGTGTGCCTCCGTGCGTGTGTGCCTCCGTGCGTGTGTGCGTCCGTGCGTGTGTGCCTCCGTGCGTGTGTACGTCCGTGCGTGTGTGCCTCCGTGCGTGTGTGCCTCCGTGCGTGTGTGCGTCCGTGCGTGTGTGCCTCCGTGCGTGTGTGCGTCCGTGCGTGTGTGCGTCCGTGCGTGTGTGCCTCCGTGCGTGTGTGCCTCCGTGCGTGTGTGCGTCCGTGCGTGTGTGCCTCCGTGCGTGTGTGCCTCCGTGCGTGTGTGCGTCCGTGCGTGTGTGCGTCCGTGCGTGTGTGCCTCCGTGCGTGTGTGCGTCCGTGCGTGTGTACGTCCGTGCGTGTGTGCCTCCGTGCGTGTGTGCGTCCGTGCGTGTGTGCGTCCGTGCGTGTGCCTCCGTGCGTGTGTGCGTCCGTGCGTGTGTGCCTCCGTGCGTGTGTGCCTCCGTGCGTGTGTGCGTCCGTGCGTGTGTGCGTCCGTGCGTGTGTGCGTCCGTGCGTGTGTACGTCCGTGCGTGTGTGCCTCCGTGCGTGTGTGCCTCCGTGCGTGTGTGCGTCTGTGCGTGTGTGCGTCCGTGCGTGTGTGGCTCCGTGCGTGTGTGCCTCCGTGCGTGTGTACGTCCGTGCGTGTGTGCCTCCGTGCGTGTGTGCGTCCGTGCGTGTGTACGTCCGTGCGTGTGTGCCTCCGTGCGTGTGTGCGTCCGTGCGTGTGTGCGTCCGTGCGTGTGTGCGTCCGTGCGTGTGTGCCTCCGTGCGTGTGTGCCTCCGTGCGTGTGTACGTCCGTGCGTGTGTACGTCCGTGCGTGTGTGCGTGCGTGTGTGCGTCCGTGCGTGTGTGCCTCCGTGCGTGTGTGCGTCCGTGCGTCCGTGTGTCCGTGCGTGCATGTCCGTGCGTGTGTGCGTCCGTGCGTGTGTGCGTCCGTGCGTGTGTGCCTCCGTGCGTGTGTGCGACCGTGCGTGCATACGTCCGTGCGTGTGTGCCTCCGTGCGTGTGTGCGTCCGTGTGTGTGCCACTCACAATCCCTCGCGGTAGCCGTCCAGCAGGGCCTGGAAGAGGGGTTTGTTGTGGGGGATCGTCTGCAGGATGTTGCCGTCCACCGTCACGTAGCCGATCGCCCACTGGCCCAGCCTCGTGCAGCTCAGCCGGAAGATGTAACTGAGACGAGGGGACACGGTCGCACCACAGACAATGATCCCCCCCCTCCTGTATACCAGGCGAGGTAGTCAACATCTCCTAGCCACCTTGATGATGATGAGAGAGACACGCAAACTCCAAATATACAGCAGCAGGCGTCAGGGTCGGGATCGGAACTCACTACCTCCTGTATACCAGGCGAGGTAGTCAACATCTTCTAGCCACCTTGATGATGATGAGAGAGACACGCAAACTCCAAATATACAGCAGCAGGCGTCAGGGTCGGGATCGGAACCCACGACCTCCTGTATACCAGGCGACGTAGTCAACATCTCCTAGCCACCGTGATGATGATGAGAGAGAGAGAGACACTCAAACTCCAAATATACAGCAGCAGGCGTCAAGGTCGGGATCGAACCCACTACCGCCTGTATACCAGGCGAGGTAGTCAACATCTCCTAGCCACCGTGATGATGATGAGAGAGAGAGAGAGAGACACTCAAACTCCAAATATACAGCAGGCGTCAGGGTCGGGATTGAACCCACGACCTCCTGTATACCAGGCGAGGTAGTCAACATCTCCTAGCCACCGTGATGATGATGAGAGAGAGACACTCAAACTCCAAATATACAGCAGGCGTCAGGGTCGGGATTGAACCCACGACCTCCTGTATACCAGGCGAGGTAGTCAACATCTCCTAGCCACCGTGTTAACCTCCTCTCTGGCGGCAAGTCCCACCGAGTCTCACGAAGTTTTCGCGGTCGCGAGACGAAAGTAAATGTTTGCGGAATTGGGTTTGCTTTGGTCAAAGCCACGGTGGCTAGGAGATGTTAACTACTTCGCCTGGTATGCATGTGGGTTCTATCTAGACCTTAACACCTGCTGTATATTTGGAGTCTGCGGTGTCTTTCTTCCTGTGGTGGTTGCGTGGATTTTTCTCAGGGTCCTTCGGTTTTTCCCCCCGACACATTTGAGAATCAACGTCGCGCGTTCAGAGTATTTGGCTGCTATGTATTTCCACGTGATGATGATGATAATGATGAGCAATCATTTGTGATGTCCAGGTCGCTTCTGAAAAAAAAGCAATATAGCTCAGTGGGCCTTACCTGGTTAAACAGAAATTGTTGAGTTTAACATGTAGGCTTTCGCGATCAATATTATCCATAATCGAGGTTTTTGGGTTATATTGCGTAAATATGGACCCACCACTAATTGTAGTGTATAGTGTAGTGTATAGTGGAGTATACTAGTACAGCACTAACCGGTTGTGTGTTGGAGAGTAAACCCACTACAACATTTACAATTATAGTGTCGTGTATAGTGTAGTGTATAGTGAAGTGTATAGTGTAGTGTATAGTGTATATACTAGTACAGCACTAACCGGTTCCATGGTAAATCTGATGGCTGGGTGAGAATTTGTATTTTTATTATTTTATTATTTCCCTTCTACGTGACTTTACCGAAAGAACCAAGAATATGGATCCCTGCAGTCACGAAATATTCAAATCAAAATCCTAATCCTGTTTAGGTCTTACACAAAAAGCACTATTATGAAAAATCTTTAGTTTAGTTCAATACATTCTTGGGGGGTTTTATTTTTGGCTGCGAGAGGAAACCGCAGAACCCGGAAGAAACCCATTGCAGACAAGGGGGAGAGAATACAAAGACAAAGATCCCCCGTGTAGCCTCAACAGACTCTCGGGGGCAAGTGCTGTTAGCGAGTAGCTGCGCCGATGAAGGTTGGCACTGTGGCACACGAGGGGGTGGGTGGCCAGCACCACGCCCGGCCGCCTTTGTCTCCCCAGTGGCGATGTTCACACATCGCACCGGGCACTCGTTTGTGGCCGAGCCAAGCGAGGCCCAGGACCGGTTCAGAGAATCGTCACCGGTGTTAAACTCGGGTCGCCACACACACACGCACACACACGCACATGTATATACACGTACACACGTACACACACACGCACATGTATATACACACGTATACACACGCACGCACGCGTATGTACACACTACATACGTACACACACACGCGCGCGTACACACACACGCGCGCGCGTACACACACACGCGCGCGTACACACACACAGGCGCACGTACACACGCACACGTACAAGCACACACACACGTGCAAGTAGACACACACACGTACACACACGTGCACGTACGCACTTACGCACGTACACACATACACGCACACGCGCACACACACGCACAAGTACACACACGTACAAGTCGTCACCACGGCTCCTGTGCCAGGCCAGGTGCACTTTGAGGCCACGTGAAGCGTCGAAGGCTCGCTGACAGCAGGTCACGGGACAGACCCTGGAGGTGCCATGGGTTGGCTAACTGAGATAACCGGTAGATGTACCAGCTAGCTTGTACCCCTACAGTGCCCCCTACAAGTACACACAACAACAACCGCCACGAAGTGGCAGTGATGTCACCACGGCGCTTGTGCCAGGCTATGTGCACTTGAAGTGCCGAACGCCCGCTGACACGAGGTCACGGTGCAGACCCAGCAGGCGCCACGGGTCGACTGGCCGATGCACCACCTGTGCCCCCTACCGTGCCAACTGTGGCAAGCACACATATGCACGTACACGCACAAGTACACAAACGCACGTACACGCACGTACACACGCCGCACACGTACACCAGATAAAGTAAAACGCAAATGAATAGAAAACGCAATCATGCCCAGCTTTTGCGGACTAGGGCAGAACGGGCGTCTGATTCGGAGAAACGGGAAACCCGATTTGGCCCATCGACCACGAGCCCCGCTCACGCCACGCGGAAAACCCTCCGACAAGATCGTCGTCGTGAAAGAGTTTCCCCTCGACGCGAGAAGAGGGAAGAGCTGACCGGACGCGGGTCTCGCGGTCAGACGGCCACACGGACCACCCACCCCCTACCCCCCACCCTGCCACCACCCCCCACCTCGCCCCGCCCATGCCCAGCCATGGAACATGGCTCAGCGGTGGCACACTCGCGGGGGGGGGGGGGGGGGGGGGGGGGGAGTGACTGAGCAAGCGGCCAAGTGACCGACCAAGCAAGTGACTGAGCGGGTGAGTGACCGAGCGGGTTAGTGACCGAGCGAGTAACCGAGCGAGTGAGTGAGTGACCGAGCAAGTGACCGAGTGACCGAGCGAGCGAGGGAGTGACTAAGCGAGTGAGCGAGCGAGTGACCGAGTGAGGGACTGAGCGAGTGACCGAGCGAGCGAGTGACCGAGCGAGCGAGGGAGTGACTAAGCGAGTGACTGAGCGAGCGAGTGACCGAGTGAGGGACTGAGCGAGTGACCGACCAAGTGAGTGAGCGATCGAGCGAGTGACCGAGCGAGCGAGCGAGCGAGCGAGCGACCGAGTGACCGAGTGAGGGACTGAGCGAGTGACCGAGCGAGCGAGTGACCGACCGAGTGAGTGACCGAGTGAGCGAGGGAGTGACTAAGCGAGTGACTGAGTGAGCGAGTTCCCGAGCGAGTGACCGGCCGAGTGAGTGACCGACCGAGCGAGTGACCAACCGAGCGAGTGACCGATCGAGCGAGTGACCGACCGAGTGAGTGACCGAGTGAGCGAGGGAGTGACTAAGCGAGTGACTGAGCGAGCGAGTGACCGACCGAGCGAGTGACCAATCGAGCGAGTGACCAATCGAGCGAGTGACCGACCGAGCGAGTGACCGACCGAGCGAGTGACCGACCGAGCGAGTGACCGACCGAGCGAGTGACCGATCGAGCGAGTGACCGAGCGAGTGAGCGAGTGCCCGAGCCGTCGGCTCTCGTACCTGCCGGGCTTGTTGGCGTACTTGAGGAGGCGGGCCTTCACCTCGTCGTAGGTGAGGAAGGCCATGTAGCCAGGGTGCGTCACCGCCAGCACGTTCCAGTTACGTAGCAGCGACGACCAGGGCTGGGCATGACGACCGGGGCACGCGGGGACAGACGGGCCGAGACACAGCGGGTCTGTTAGCGAGCATCTGTTAGCGATCACCTATCTGTTAGTGATCATCTGTTAGTGATCACCTGTTAGTGATCATCTGTTAGTGATCATCTGTTAGTGATCACCTGTTAGTGATCACCTGTTAGTGATCATCTGTTCGTGGTGCTAACCACCGCGCCACCGCTCCCCCATGAACCACGACAGACAACAACAACAACAGCAGCCGCCATTCGCCGTCGAGTGGCGGTGCCGTCACCACGGCGCTCGTGCCAGGCTAGGTGCACGCTTTTGTAGTGACGTAAATGGTGTCACTGGGGGGGTGTTTGCGCCAGCTGCTGTAACAGGAGTGCAGATCCTACGGGAAAGGTTGAAGGCGGAGCGAGGCCACGCCCAGGAGCATAAAGGGTCAGTCCCCAAAGTGTTCTTGGCTCACCATTGGAACCTCATTTGCCAGTAAAAAATATGATAATTGGTTTTTGTTACCCTTCTATCTGGCAAGAAAACTGACACCTTTTTTTTTTACAAGGAATCATGTTTGCATAGGCCACAATACCTGCAGTCATAATGCAAACAAAAAACATAACTCTGATAATGTGCACTGTCCTTGTTGCCAGATAGAAGGGTAAAAAAACAATTATCTCTAGATTTGAAGCTTTCGTGACTGCAAGGATTCATACTTCTAGGTTTTTTCGGTAAAGTCACGTAGGTAAAAAAAATGTAATTAATAAAAGTAAAATAAATAAAAAAATATTTGTTTTATTTTACTTTTATTAGCGAACTCGCTACTCACATCGTGAGCCACATCACACCTCAGTGTTACCCGCAGGGGAAGTTGTTCAATCAAAGTGTTGCCCTCCCAGTGCAGGGCGTGTGCCTCCGTGTTGGTGAACAACACGGCACTTTGAGGCCGCGTGAAGCGTCGACGGCTCGCTGCTGGCGGGAGGTCACGTGACTGAGCCAGGTGCCGTGGGTTGCCTGATTGAGATGACTGGCAGATGCACCTGCCGTGCTCCCCACGTGGCACCTAGCCTGGCACGAATGCCGTGGCGACGTCACCGCCGCACAGTGGCGAAGACAAAGATCCCCCGTGTAGCCTTCAGGGGCCGTTGGAGGCAAGTGCTGTTAGCGAGTAGCACCTATGAAGGCCGGCACGGCACACGAGGGGGTGGGGTGGCTCTCACACTCGCACACTCACTCGCTCGCTCTCACACTCGCACTCACTCGCTCGCTCTCACACTCGCACACTCTCTCACGCGCTCTCTCACATGCTCTCTCACACTCGCACACTCTTTCACACGCTCTCACCTCGCACGCTCGCTCTCACACTCGCACGCTCTCTCACGCGCTCTCACCTGGAAGAGGCGGGTGAAGATGTCGAATTCGAAGACGGAGATGCAGTCGTTGCAGGTGAGGTCGATGGTCGACTTCAGCGCCATCGCCTCCAGGCCCGAGCTGATGGGGTGGACCTCGCTGATGCACTGGCGGAAGACCTTCCACGGCACGATCGCCCTGCGGAGGGGGTCGTACACCCGCTGGCTTAGTCGCCCATTCGCTCGTTCATTCCTTCACCACCGCCGGTCAGTCGCTCATTCATGAGACTTCATCACAGAGCCAGCACGGCTGAGATCCTGGGTTCAAGCCCCGGGTCTCTCTCTCTCTCTCAAAGGGGTTCGCAATGGCCGTGTCTGAGACACTGAACCAGCATGGATGAGAACATGAGTTCAAGCCCTGGCAGAGGTCGCAAACGGGTTTTGATTCCTTACCCGTACCCGTACCCGGCTGCACCAGGGTCGCAAACGGGTACCCATACCCGGCCGGGTACGGGTAACCGGGTATCGGGTAGGGTACGGGTATCGGGTACCCGGTTGCGAGTTCAGGCCCCGGGTCTCTCTCTCAAAAGGGTTCGTAATGGCCGTGTCTGAGACACTGAACCAGCATGGATGAGAACATGAGTTCAAGCCCCGGGTCTCTCTCTCTCTCACCCCCACCACCACCACCTCCAACCCCCACCACCACCTCCTCCCACCACTGCTGTTGGGCCGTCATTGAGCGAGTGGCCAGCTCTGCTTCCGGCGAAAAAGAAAGCCGACGGGGATGTCAGCGTGGGCCGTCAGCCGCCAACGATTATCCGGAGCCCCCGTCCCCGGGACTTGACGAACGGACGGGGCGATTGACCGGCGCGACGGAGGAATGTCAAAGCGAGCAACCGGTGCAGGCGCGTAGTGATCATCGCTGCCTGGGGAGACAAAGGCGGCCGGGCGTGTTGCTGACCACCCACCGACCCACCCCCCCCCACCTCGTATGCGCCGTGCCGGCCTTCATAGGCTAAGCGAACAGCGCTTGCCCCAACAGGGGGGGGTGGATCTTCGTTGTGTGCGTGCTGCACTCGTGGTCAGTGTGAGTGATTAGTAAGCGTTCCAAGACGCTGTTCACGGTGTAACCCTCCCCACACTCCCCACCGCGCGAGCCAGAGCCAAATTAGAAATCCTGAGAAGCCGCGCGTGGAGACGGCGGAGGAGACTGCCGCGTGGGGAATGCCGACGCAGATTTCTGTTTGGCTGCCCGGGCGAGCGGTAGGAGGATGAGGAGGAGGAGAAAAAACAAACAGCCTCGTGAAAATCTCCAAAACAACAACATCAACAACATCAACTTCTCTCTCTCTCTCACCCCATCACTCCCAACCCCTCCCTTCCTCCCCCCAGCCTCCGGACTTCCTGCTGTCGTACAAATGGGGGGGTACAAAAAAACCTCCACCCCTCCTCCCCGCCTGATGATGATGATGATGAGAGTCAGGAAGGGCAGCCTGCCGAATTGAGTGACAACGCCTACACCGCATGACTTGATATGGGCGTATTAATGTGTTGTGTGTGTGTGATTGTGTGTGTGTGATTGTGTGTGTGTGATTGTGTGTGTGTGTGATTGTGTGTGAGTGGCTGTGTGTGTGTGTGATTGTGTGTGTGTGATTGTGTGTGTGTGTGATTGTGTGTGTGAGTGGCTGTGTGTGTGTGTGATTATGTGTGAGTGGCTGTGTGACTGGCTCTGTGTGTGTGTGTGTTAATTGTGACTGTGTGAGTAACTGTGTGAGTGTGTGACTGTGTGTGTGAATGACTGTGAGTGTGTGTGTTACTGTGTGACTGTGTTAGTGGCTGTGTGCGAGTGGCTGTTTGTGTGAGTGACTGTGTGAGTGGCTGTGTGACTGTGTGTGTGAATGACTGTGATTGTGCTGGTGGCAGTGTGTGTGTGTGCGAGTGTGTGAGTGGCCGAGTGGATGTGTGACTGTGTGACTGTGTGTGTGTGGCTGTGCCTGTGTGAGTAACTGTGTGTATGAGTGCCTGTGTGTGATTGACTGTGTGTGTGAGTGTGTGAGTGACTGTGTGAGTGTGTGAGTGACTGTGTGAGTGACTGTGTGAGTAACTGTGTGAGTGACTGTGTGAGTAACTGTGTGTGTGTGGCTGTGGTTGTGGCTGTGTGTGTGAGTGTGTGATTGACTGTGTGAGTGTGTGAGCGAGTGTGTGAGTGACTGTGTGCGTGACTGTGTGAGTGACTGTGTGTGCGAGTGTGTGATTGACTGTGTGAGTGTGTGAGCGAGTGTGTGAGTGACTGTGTGAGTAACTGTGTGAGTAACTGTGTGTGTGTGGCTGTGTTTGTGGCTGTGTGTGTGAGTGTGTGATTGACTTTGTGAGTGAGTGACTGTGTGAGTGTGTGAGCGAGTGTGTGAGTGACTGAGTGAGTGACTGTGTGAGTGACTGTGTGTGTGAGTGGTAGTGTGTGTGACTGTGTGAGTGACTGTGTGAGTAACTGTGTGTGAGTGACTGTGTGCGTGACTGTGTGAGTGACTGACTTGTAGAGAGTGGTAGTGTAGCGGTTAGCGCTACGCTGCACTGCGAACTCAGCGAACCGGAGTTCGATTCCTGCTCACGGCTACCAATACCGGTGACGATTATCTGAACCGGTCCTGGGCCTCCCCTTGGTCGACTCAGCCTCAAATGAGTACCTGGTGCAGTGTGAAAACATCGCAACTGGGGAGACAAAGGCGGCCGGGCGTGGTGCTGCCCGAACCACCCACTCGTGAGCCGTGACCGGCCTTCATCGATGCTGCTGGCTAACAGCACTTGCCCCGACAAGTGAGTTAAAGGCTACACGGCGTAGGTTCTTGTATGTGGCGAGATGTTAACTCCCTTGCCTAGTATACAGGAGGTCATGGGTTCAAACGCGACCCTGACGACGCCTGCGGTATACTTGGAGTGGTCGCGTTCGATTTTTCTCCGGGTCCTCCGGCTTTTCCCTCCCCGTTTAGAATCAACGTCGCGCGTTCAGAGCATTCGCCTGCTGTAACCGTCCAAGTGATGATGATGATGATGATGCAGAAGGCAACTTCGCCGAGCTATCGTTTGTGATAGCCAGGTCACTCGATGGGGCCTAACCTGACCCCGGCATCTTCTTGGTTCTTTCGGTAAACTCACGTAGAAGGAAAATAATTTTATTATTTTCCTTCTACGTGACTTTACCGAAAGAACCAAGAAGATGAATCCCTGCAGTCACGAAAGCTTTAAATCGAAACTGACCCCGGCAGTCTGTTAAGGGCTACACGGGTTGGGGATCTTTGTCTTCGTGTGGTTACGTGTGCGGCTTCATGTATATACGATCTTATCCATCTCTCTACGCAGGCACGCCAGGAAGGGGGTTGTGTGTGTGCGTTCTTGTCGATCTTGCATTACGGTCAAGCGGCCGGAGAGGGGACACCTTTACATTAATATTCTTGGGTTTTTTCGGTAAAGTCACGGAAGTAAAAAATTAAAATTTATAAAAGTAAAATAAAAATAAAAATCACGACGTTTCGGAGGCAGCACAAGCTTCCATCTTCAGGTGGAACCGTCACAGCACGCTCGCTGCATCAAGTAAATGAGAGATTCCAAGAGACCCGACCCCGTATATATACTGGTTGAGGGGGGAGGAGCCAGGACAGGCCCCTGGATAGGAGTTTTATTATTATTATTATGGCAAGGTTGGTGCGACTGAAACTACGTCTACTCTACATAACAATTCCTATCCGGCTCGCCATCAAATTCCGCGCGAGGCAAACCAAACGATTCGCCGTCGACGGGCAGAGGGGGATCTCCCCGCACGTTCAGCGCGAGGCCGCAACGCGAGAGCCGGAGCCTCGCACGGAGCTCCCGGCTCGCCCCGCAGGAGCAAAATGGACCAAGGAATGAACACTTTCAGGTTTTCCCGGTCACGAAGCTCAAGACACGCACGCCCGCGTTCGCACCCGATCTTCTAATTTCATATTCCTGGAGACCTGCCCTCCCCTCCCCCCCCACCTTCACCGACGACGCTTGCCGGAGTTTGAAGAGCGGCGACACGGAGCGGAGTGATTTAGGAGGGCGGCTGGGGGCCGGTACCACGTGGGTCGAGGAGGAATGAGGGACAGTAGCGACAGGGAAGGTGCTTGGGGTGGTGGGGGGGAGTTAACGGGAGGGGCTGTTGGGGAGGGGAGTGGTGGAGGGGCGACGGGGAGATGGGGGAGAGGAAAGGGAACGGGCGATGGTGATGGAGCAGAGGTGGTGAGGCTTTAAGAGAGGAACGAAAGGGAGGTTAAGGAGGGGACCCGCTCAATGTACAGAGGCGGTGTTGAGTCTGTGGTGCAGTGTTGAGTCTATGGGCAGTGTTGAGTCTATGGGTAGTGTTGAGTCTATGGTGCAGTGTTGAGTCTGTGGTGCAGTGTTGAGTCTATGGGCAGTGTTGAGTCTGTGGGCAGTGTTGAGTCTGTGGTGCAGTGTTGAGTCTGTGGGCAGTGTTGAGTCTGTGGGCAGTGTTGAGTCTGTGGGCAGTGTTGAGTCTATGGTGCAGTGTTGAGTCTGTGGGCAGTGTTGAGTCTATGGGCAGTGTTGAGTCTATGGGCAGTGTTGAGTCTATGGGCAGTCTTGAGTCTATGGGCAGTGTTGAGTCTGTGGGCAGTGTTGAGTCTATGGGCAGTGTTGAGTCTGTGGGCAGTGTTGAGTCTGTGGGCAGTGTTGAGTCTGTGGGCAGTGTTGAGTCTATGGGCAGTGTTGAGTCTATGGTGCAGTGTTGAGTCTATGGGCAGTGTTGAGTCTATGGGCAGTGTTGAGTCTGTGGGCAGTGTTGAGTCTATGGGCAGTGTTGAGTCTATGGGCAGTGTTGAGTCTGTGGGCAGTGTTGAGTCTCTGGGCAGTGTTGAGTCTATGGTGCAGTGCTGAGTCTATGGACAGTGCTGAGTCTGTGGGCAGTGTTGAGTCTATGGGCAGTGCTGAGTCTGTGGGCAGTGCTGAGTCTGTGGGCAGTGCTGAGTCTATGGACAGTGCTGAGTCTGTGGGCAGTGCTGAGTCTATGGGCAGTGCTGAGTCTGTGGGCAGTGCTGAGTCTATGGACAGTGCTGAGTCTGTGGGCAGTGTTGAGTCTATGGGCAGTGCTGAGTCTGTGGGCAGTGCTGAGTCTATGGGCAGTGTTGAGTCTATGGTGCAGTGTTGAGTCTATGGGCAATGTTGAGTCTATGGTGCAGTGTTGAGTCTATCCATCGAGGGTGGACGAAAGCTGCAGTCGAACCACGGGGGGGGGGGGGGGGGGGGGGGGGAACCTTCAGCAGACGCTGAGCCGAGAGCCAGGGGCGGGGGAGCGGCAGACCCCGTGGCTCACCTCTCTCCGAAGGCCTTCCTCCAGAAGTCGGAGGCGTCCGCCTTGGTGATGCGGAAGTCGTTGCCCTGGAAGATCCCCCCGGGGAAGAGCGCCTTGAGCTCCGCCAGCATGTGGCTGAAGATCAGCGACAGCTTCGTGAGGTTCCGCCTGCAACGAAAAACATCGTCGCAGTCGTCATCACCGGCGTCATCGCCTTAATCATCGTCATTGTCATCGTCACCGCAGTCGTGATCGCAATCGTCGTTGTCGTCATTGCAGTCGTCATCATCGCAGTTGTCACTGTTGTCATCGTCGTCATCCGAGTTGTCATTTACATCATCATCATCGCCGTCATCATCGTCCTTGTCGTCATCGTCATCATCATCGTTGTCTTCATCGCAGTCGTTACCATCTTCATCATCGCCGTCATCATCATCGCAATCATCGTCATTGTCGTCATCATCGCAGTTGTCATCATCGTCGTCATCATCGTCGTCATCATCGCCGTCATCATCATCATCGTCGTCGTCATCGTCATCATCATCGTCGCCGTCATCGTCGCCGTCATCGTCATCATCAACATCGTCGTCATCAACATCGTCGTCATCGTCATCATCATCATTGTCGTCGTCATCGTCGCCGTCATCGTCATCATCAACATCGTCGTCGTCATCATCGTCATTGTCGCTGCCATCATCATCATCATCATTGTCGTCGTCGTCATCATCGTCGTCGTCATCATCATCGTCGCCGTCATCATCATCGTCGTCATCGTCGTCATCATCGTCGTCATCATCGTCGTCATCATCGTGTCGTCATTGTCGTCATCGTCATCATCATCGTCGTCATCATCGTGTCGTCATCATCGTGTCGTCATCATCGTCGTCATCATCGTCGTCATCATCGTCGTCGTCGTCGTCATCAACATCGTCGTCGTCATCGTCGCCGTCGTCGTCATCATCGTCGTCATCATCGTCATCATCGTCGTCATCATCGTCGTCGTCGTCGTCATCATCGTCGTCGTCGTCATCGTCGCCGTCGTCGTCATCATCGTCGTCATCATCGTCATCATCATCGTCATCATCGTCGTCATCATCACCATCGTCGTCATCATCACCATCATCATCATTGTCGCTGCCATCAACATCATCATCATCGTCGTCATCAAAGATCCCCCGTGTAGCCTCAACAGACTGTCGGGGCAAGTGCTGTGAGCGAGCAGCGCCGATGAAGGCCAGCACCACTCGCCCGGCCGCCTTTGTCTCCCCAGTGGCGATGTTTCCACACCACACCAGATTACTCATTTGAGGCCGAGTCGACCTAGGGGGAGGCCCAGCGACCGATTCAGATAATCGACGGGTTCGTAGCGCGGCGCGATGCTGACCGCTGCACTTCCACTTGCCATACTCAAGCACACACAGAGATACGCACGTGTATACAACTTCATACACACACGCACGCTAAAGTCACACACACATGCTAAGGCAAACATGCCACAGAGCCTCGATAAACTGTTAGGAAAAGTTCGGTTTGGAAATGGGGCTTAGGCTATGAAGTGGAACTTAGACGCACACACTACAAAGACACACACACTACACACTCACACATCACATACTACACACACACTAACCACACACTAAACCCACCACACACTACACACACACTGACCACACACACACCACACACACTACACACACACTACACACTCACCACACACTAAACTCACCACATACTACGCACACACAACACACACACACTTACCACACACACACACACCACACACTTACCACACAGAACACACGACGCACGGTTGGCTAGGTACGGCGCGAAAGAAGTTCGCCATATGTACAACATACTCACATTCCACATACACACACGCTCACTGACCACACACGCTCACTGACCACACAAACCATGTACACTTCGCACACACACATTACACACACACCACACACACTAACCATGTGAACTTTCCACACACACATTACACATACACACCACACACACAAAACATGTAAACTTTCCACACACACATTACACACACACAAAAACCATGTACCCTTTGCACACACAATACACACACACATTACACACAAACCACACACACAAACCATGTAAACTTTCCACACACAATACACACACATTACACACACACACAAACCATGTAAACTTTCCACACACACAAAAACCATGTACCCTTTGCACACACAATACACACACACATTACACACAAACCACACACACAAACCACGTAAACTTTCCACACACAATACACACACACATTACACGCACACACCACACACACAAACCATGTAAACTTTCCACACACACACAAACCATGCACACTTTGCACACACACACACTACGCACCTCCGATTAGCACGGTTGGCTACGTGCGGTGCAAACGAAGTTCAACACATATATGCGTGCGTACACACACGCAGCACACCTTTACCACACACGCACGCGCACACGCACAAACTGCATACTCCGACACTTGCACAATTGACACGCACGCACAATCCAAGCCACCGCCACGTTCATGGCCCAGTCCCTGTGCTCGAGGAAGTTAGCTGCGGAGGTGCGATAGGGATCAGGTCGTGAACGCAGCCAGCCAGAGCCACCGGTAGCTGGCCCCACAGTCGGAGCGACAGGTGGCAGCGATCGTTTCAAGTTTAAATTTGCTTCAACCAGAGGTGAGAACTGGGGGGAGCCAGGCTGAGACTCGTGCACAAGATTATCCTGGGTGGGCGAGTGGGTGGGTGGGTGGGTGAGCGAGTTGGTGAGTGAGTTGGTGAGTGAGTGGGTGAGTGGGTGAGTTGGTGAGTGAGTGGGTGAGTGGGTCAGTGGGTGGGTCAGTGGGTGGGTGAGTGAGTTGGTGAGTGGGTGAGCGAGTTGGTGAGTTGGTGAGTGGGTGGGTGAGTGAGTTGGTGAGTGGGTGGGTGAGCGAGTTGATGAGTGGGTGAGTGAGTGGGTCAGTTTGTGAGTGGGTGGGTGGGTGAGTGAGTTGGTGGGTGGGTGAGTGGGTGAGTGGGTGGGTGAGTGAGTTGGTGAGTGGGTCGGTGGGTGGGTGAGTGGGTGGGTGAGCGAGTGGGTGAGTGGGTGGGTCAGTGGGTGGGTGGGTAATTGATTGAATGTGATAAGGGGAGTGAGTTAGTAAGCGAAGTTTGAAGTTGATTTTCTTTAACCAAAACTCAAGAGTGAACTGAGTGAATGAGTGAGTCTGCGAGTGGATAATGGAGATGATTATTAAAATGCCACCATCAACCCGGCATCGTGAGTAGCTGAATCCAATGCACAACCATCCTGCATGCCAGGCGAGGCAGTAAACATCTCGCCACCGTGGCACCAGTAAATCATTATTATTAAAATGCCACAATCAACCTGGCATCGTCAGGATCGGGATGGAACCCACGACCTCCTGCATGCCAGGCAGTAAACATCTCGCCACCGTGGCACCAGTAAACTATTATTATTAAAATGCCACCATCAACCTGGCATCGTCAGGATCGGGATGGAACCCACGACCTCCTGCATGCCAAACGAGGCAGTTAACATCCCCGTAAATTATTAAAATGCCACCATCAACACCACGACCGATCATCGTCGATCTACCACCGCCCCCCTCGACCCCCCCCCCACCCCACGGTCTCCGTAGCGCCGAGCGGCGGTGCCCCACCACTCGCCTGGGCTGTGAGTGCTCTTCGAACATTCGCTCCCTGGCCTCCTTGAAGAGCCGCAGCGCCTGCTTGCTCTTCCTCACCAGGTTCTCCACGCACACGCGGAAGTACTCGTTCTCGGCCAGCGCCTGCATGCGTTCCTCGTACCTGCGGGGCGGCAACGGTTCGCTCCGAGGTTGGGGGTCCGGCCGTCGGAAACACGTGCGCGTGTGTTACCGCGTGTGTGTGTGTGTGCCTAAACAGCTTTTGTTCGGCCGGATCGAGGGGGCTAAACGGGCGCGGTACGGGCTAGAGAAGAGATGGAGTGATGTGGTACAGGAGGACGTGGAGCTGAGTGGATTTGCGGATGACCGGTACCAGCGGTGTCAAGATCGGCCTCTGTGGAGGAGGCTCGTGAAGGACGCTACTGGGCAGTTGGAGGCAGTCGCCCTCCAACAACAACGGAGGGCGGAAGAGCGACGCTCACAACAACGAGCGGAGCGCCGGGTGGCTAAAGCACAGCAATTTGGCACAGTAGGGGGCACAGGTGGTGCATCAGCCAGTCATCTCGGTCATCTCGGTCAGTCGACCCGTGGCACCTGGGTTTGCCCCGTGACCTCCTGCCAGCGGGCGTTCGACACTTCACGTAGCCTCAAGGTGCACATGGCCTGGCACAAGCGTCGTGGTGACGTCACCGCCACTTAGTGGCGAATGGCGGTTGTTGTTGTGTGTGCGCGTGCGTGTGTTAGCGGTAGTGTAGCGGTTAGTGCGCTGCGCTATGAACCTGGCGACCCCGGTTCGATTCCCGCTCACGGCCAACACCGGTGACGATCATCTGAATCGGTCCTGGGCCTCCTCTAGGTCGACTCAGCCTGAAATGAGTACCTGGTGCGAGTGTGTAAACATCGCTTGCACTGGGGAGACAAAGGCGCTCGGGCGTGGTGCTGGCCACCCACCCCCTCGTGTACCGTTCTGGCCCTTTATAGGTGCTACTCGCTAACAGCACTTGCCCGTACAGTCTGTTAAGGCTATACGTGGGATCTTTGTGTTAACGTGCGTGCACACGTGTTCACGTGTGCGCGTGCGTGCCAACGTCTTGCTCGTGGTGAGTGAGATGTTGACTATCTCGCCTGGTATGCACGAGGTCGTGGGTTCAATCCCGAGCCTGACAATCTTAGTGTCGGGATCGAACCCACAACCTCCTGTATACCAGGCGAGGCAGTTAACATCTCCTAGCCACCGTGGCGCCCGACAAACCACACCAGGTACTCATTTGAGGCCGAGTGGAGGGAGGCCCAGGACCGGCTCAGACAATCGTCACTGCGCTTGCCGCACCACCCACTCACTCACCCAACCACTCACTCACTCACCCAACCACTCACTCACTCACCCAACCACTCACTCACTCACCCAACCCGCTCACTCACTCGCCCAAACCGCTCACTCACCCACCCAACCACTCACCAACCACTCACTCACCCAACCACTCACTCACTCACCCAACCACTCACTCACTCACCCAACCACTCACTCACTCACCCAACCACTCACTCACTCCAACCCACTCACTCACTCACCCAACCCGCTCACTCACTCACCCAAACCCGCTCACGCACTCACCCAACCCGCTCGCTCACTCACCCAAACCGCTCGCTCACTCACCCACCCAACCACTCACTCACTCACCCAACCACTCACTCACTCACCCAACCACTCACTCACTCACCCAACCACTCACTCACTCACCCAACCACTCACTCACTCACCCAACCACTCACTCACTCACCCAACCACTCACTCACTCACCCAACCACTCACTCACGCAACCACTCACTCACCCAACCACTCACTCACTCACCCAACCACTCACTCACCCAACCCGCTCACTCACTCACCCAACCCGCTCACTCACTCACCCAACCCGCTCACTCACTCACCCAAACCGCTCACTCACCCACCCAACCACTCACTCACTCACCCAACCACTCACTCACTCACCCAACCACTCACTCACTCACCCAACCACTCACTCACTCACCAACCACTCACTCACTCACCCAACCACTCACTCACTCACCCAACCACTCACTCACCCAACCACTCACTCACCCAACCACTCACTCACTCACCCAACCACTCACTCACTCACCCAACCACTCACTCACGCAACCACTCACTCACCCAACCACTCACTCACTCACCCAAACCGCCGCACCGCCGCCACCACCACAACAAACCAAACAAATGTCACACGGCTGCAGTAGTCAAGATAACAAGTTTGGGGGGGGGGAGACCACGCACGCGCACGGATTACGTGCGGGTCACTTTCCGACACGCTCGCCGTCTCTCGGAAGCATTCGATCAGCAGGCACAAAAGCAGGCGGCTTGGGTGGGTGGGTGAGTGGGTGAGTGGGTGCGTGGGTGGTCAGTTGCTGGGTGGGTGAGTTGCTGGGTGGGTGAGTTGCTGGGTGGGTGAGTTGCTGGGTGGGTGAGTGGCTGTGTGGGTGGGTGAGTGGGTGCGTGGATTGATGGATGGGTGCATAGGTGAGTGGGCGGATGGGTGAGTAGGCGGATGGGTGAGTAGGTGGGCGAGTGGCTGGTTGGTTGAGTGGGTGGGTGAGTGAGTGAGTTGGTGAGTGGGTGAGTGGGTCAGTGGGTGAGTGGGTGGGTCAGTTGGTGGGTGGGTGAGTGGGTGGGTGAGTAGGTGGGTGAGTAGCTGGGTGGTTGAGTGGGTGCGTGGGTCAGTTGCTGGATGGGGGAGTGGCTTGGGTGGGTGCAGGTGAGTGGGCAGAATGGGCGAGTTGCTGGGTCGGTGAGTGACTCGGCAGGTGAGTGGGTGGGTGGGTGAGTGAGTGGGTGGGTGAGTGGGTGGGTGAGTGGGTGGGTGAGTGGGTGAATGGCTTGGGGTGGGTAGGTGAGTGGGTGAGTGAGCTTTGGATGGATGCATGAGTGGCTGGGTGGATGAGTGGGCGGGTGGGTAAGTGGGCGGGTGGGTGAGTGAGTAGGTGGGTGAGTGGCTGAGTGGGTGAGTGGAGTGGGTGAGTGGCTGAGTGGGTGAGTGGCAGGGTGGGTGAGTGGGTGGGTGAGTGGGCGGGTGGGCGAGTGGGTGAGTGGGCGGGTGGGTGAGTGGACGGGTGGGTGAGTGGGCGGGTGAACGGCTGGGCGGGTGAGTGGCTTGGGTGGGTGGGTGAGTGGCTGGGTGGGTGAGTGGCTGGGTGGGTGAGTGGGCGAGTGGGTGAGTGAGTGGCTGGGTGGGTGAGTGGCTGGGTGGGTGAGTGGCTGGGTGGGTGGGTGAATGGCTGGGTGGGTGGGCGAGTGAGTGGGTGAGCGGGCGGGTGGGTGAGTGGCTGGGTGGGCGGCTGTCAGGCCAAAAGGCCGTGGAAATTTTGCACGTACGTGCGATATTAATTTCTCTCTTGCCACTGGGTTGTGACCCAGGTTTTTGGTTTTTTTAGCCAACGCTTTGATGAATGCATCCGGGGGTTTCTCTACGGTGGAGTTCTGAACCACATCAACCACCACCAACCACCACCAACCACCACCAACCACCACCAACCACCACCACAACTTCGTGCGAGAGTTCCGCTCGCAACGGAGCCACCCCTAACCTCTCTACGGGAGTGATCGCCGATTCCCCGTCACGTCACACACGGATGAGTTAGAATCAGAATCCTTATTTCATTACTGGAGGAATATGATGAGCCGTAAAGCTCGTTTTCACAAATGTCCAGTAGTTGGTGTGAGTGAATGAGTGGATTTGTAAGTGGATGGGTGAATGAGTGGGTGGGTGAGTGGATGGGTGAGTGGATGGGTGAGTGGATGGGTGAGTGGGTGGGTGAGCGGATGGGTGAGCGGATGGGCGAGCGGGTGGGTGAGCGAATGGGTGAGTGAATGGGCAAGTGGATGGGAAAGTGGGTGGGTGGGTGAGTGAGTGGATTAATGTGGCTAAGTGGATAGGTGAGATGATGGGTGAGTGGACGGGTGAGTGGACGGGTGAGTGAACGGGTGAGTGAACGGGTGAGTGAATGGGTGAGTGGATGGGTGAGTGGATGGGCGAGTGGATGAGTGAGTGAATAGGCAAGTGTATGGGTAAGTGGGTGGGTGAGTGGATGAATGTGGCTAAGTGGATGGGTGAGATGATGGGTGAGTGACGGGTGAGTGGATGAATGTGGCTAAGTGAATGGATGAGTGGATGTGCGAGTGAATGGGCGAGTTGACGAATTCCATTCCAGCTCACGGCCACCAACACCGGTGACGATTATCTGAACCGGTCCTGGGCCTCCCCATAGGTTGACTCAGCCTCAAACGCTATCAATCTTGGTTGGAAAGCGTTGATGTTACTAACAATAAAAATAACATTCATTAATTCATTAAAGCCTCGTTGAGTCTCAAAAAAAATTTTCATTTGGGATGGTTAGCCCAATAATTCCAGCCTTTATTTGTCACCAATTCACTCCCCTGCTCACTTACTCGCTAACCCACCCACACACTCATTTCAGCCACCTACAGAACCACACAATCACCAACCCAACCAGACAACCACCCACCCACTCACTCACCCACTCACCAACTTAGACACTCACCCAAACACTCATCCATACCATCCAACTTCTCATTTCACACCCCAACCATTCAATTCACCTACCCACCCAACCTATCACCAACCCAACCACTCACCCAAACAATCACCCATCCCACCTCAACCAACCACTCACCCCAACCACTAAATTCATCCATCCACCCAACCACTCACTCACCAACCCAACCACTCACTCACCCAACCACTCACCAACCCCACCCAACTAGTAAATTCATCCACCCACCCAACCACTCACTCACTCACCAACCCAACCACTCATTCACCCAACCACTCACTCACCAACCCCACTCAACCACTAAATTCACCCAACCACTCACTGACCAACACAACCATTCACCCACCCAACCACTCACTCACTCACCCAACCACTCACTCACCAACCCACCCAACCACTCACTCACTCACCAACCCACCCAACCACTCACTCACCAACCCACCCAACCACTCACTCACCCACCCAACCACTCACTCACCCACCCAACCACTCACTCACCCACCCAACCACTCACTCACTCACACAACCACTCACTCACTCACCAACCCAACACTCACTCACCCAACCACTCACTCACTCACTCACCAACCCAAACACTCACTCACCCAACCACTCACTCACCCAACCACTCACTCACCCAACCACTCATTCACCCAACCACTCATTCACCCAACCACTCACTCACCAACCCCACCCAACTACTAAATTCACCCACCCACCCAACCACTCACTCACCAACCCAACCACTCACTCACCCAACCACTCACTCACCAACCCAAACACTCATTCACCCAACCACTCACTCACCCAGCCACTCACCCACTCACCCAACCACTCACTCACTCACCCAACCACTCACTCACCCACTCACTCACTCAACCACTCACTCACCCCACCCCAACCACTCACTCACCAACCCAACCACTCACTCACCAACCCACCCAACCACTCACTCACCAACCCACCCAACCACTCACTCACCCAACCACTCACTCACCCAAACACTCACTCAACCCAACCACTCACTCACCAACCCAACCACTCACTCACCAACCCAACCACTCACTCACCCACTCACTCACCCAACCACTCACTCACCAACCCCACCCAACTACTAAATTCACCCACCCAACCACTCACTCACCAACCCAATCACCACTCACTCACTCAACCACTCACTCACTCACTCACCCACTCACTCACCCAACCACTCACTCACTCACTCACCCAACCACTCACCCACTCACCAACCCGAACACTCAACCACTCATCAACCCAAACACTCACCCACTCACCAACCACTCACTCACTCACCCCAACCACTCTCCATCCATCCCCCAAACACCCTCTCTTCCTACCCCAACACCCCACACCCCCATCACATCACCTGGACAGCACGAGCCTCAGGTGTTGGTAGGTGTCGGGCAGGATGTCCACTCACTCACTAACCCACTCACCAACCCACTCACTCAACCACTCACTCACCCACTCACTCACCCACTCACTCAACCACTCACTCACCCAACCACTCACCCAACCACTCACTCACTCACCCAACCACTCACTCACCCACCCACCCACTCACCAACCCAACCACTCACTCACTCACCCAACCACTCACTCACTCACCCAACCACTCAGTCACCCAACCACTCACTCACTCACCAACCCAAACACTCACGTACTCACCAACCCACTCACCCACCCACTCACTCACCCCACCCCAACCACTCCATCCACCCCCCCACACCCCCATCACATCACCTGGACAGCACGAGCCTCAGGTGTTGGTAGGTGTCTGGCAGGATGTCCAGGATGTACGGGGGGCTATTCTTGAGTTGCAATCGTGGCGCCTGGCACGCCTTCACCACCTTGTCCATGAGCTTCCACGACTTCTCCACCGTCCGCCTATCCACCGTGGCTCTCGGAGGGCCGACAGCATCATGGATGGCATCGAGGAGTCCCAGAATTCGGTACTTTTTGGGCTGTCGGCTGCTGTTGTTGCCACCGCCGCCGCTGCTCGTGGTGGTGTTGATGGGTGTCGAGGTGGTGGTGGTGGTGGTTGTTGTTGTTGTGGTGTTGTTGTTGAGAGAATTCGAGGCACCACCACCGCTGGCAGAAGACGCCACGGAATTGGCTGCGATGGTATTGGCAGGTCCAGTGATGGCACCACCACCAGCACCACCACCACCAGCACCACCACCACCAGCACCAGCAGTGGGAGAGGCGTTGAAGTTACTCCCGTACGGAGCACCAGAATTCCCAGCAGAACCACCACCACCACCACTTAGGCAGCCACCACCACCACCACCAATGTAGCTACCAGAGATGCCTCCAAATCCACTGCTGGACCCGCCGCTGTAGCTCGCGATGCTTGGGGCAGACGAAGCTGCCGAGGTGAGGCTGTAGGTGCCACCACCAATGCCACCACCACCACCACCACCAAACCCACCACCACCAAACCCACCGCCTACGGCATAGCTACCGCTTGTGCCACCCAATCCGTAAGTGCTACCACCACCATAACTACCACCACCACCACTACCATAACTACCACCACCACTAGTACCACCACCACTACCGCCACCACCACTACCACCACCATAACCACTACTACCGCCACCACCACTACCACCACCACTGCCACCACCATAACTACCACTACCACCACCACTTGCAGCGCCGGCTACGGCATAGCTAGCGCCACCACTGTCCCCACTACCACCACCACTACCACCACCACTACCACCACCACTACCACCACTACCACCACCACTACCACCACTACCACCACCACCACCACCACCGCTTGAACTACCGAAGCCACTGGCTCCGTCAACGCCACCACCACCACCACCCTGAGAAGCGGCCATCGCGTCTCACTGCGTCACCCTGTAGCCAAGTCACTCTGTGTGTGTGTATGTGTGTGTGTCTCTGTGTGTGTGTGTCTGTGTGTGTGTCTCTGTGTGTGTGTGTCTGTGTGTGTGTCTGTGTGTGTGTCTGTGTGTCTGTGTGTGTGTCTCTGTGTGTGTCTCTGTGTGTGTGTGTGTCTGTGTGTGTGTGTCTGTGTGTGTGTGTGTCTGTGTGTGTGTTTGTGTGTGTGTCTCTGTGTCTGTGTGTGTGTGTCTCTGTGTGTGTGTGTCTGTGTGTGTGTCTCTGTGTGTCTGTGTGTGTCTGTCTCTGTGTCTGTGTCTCTGTGTGTCTGTGTGTGTCTGTCTCTGTGTCTGTCTGTGTCTGTCTGTGTCTGTCTGTGTGTGTGTCTGTCTGTGTGTGTGTCTCTGTGTGTGTGTCTCTCTGTGTGTCTGTGTGTGTGTGTCTCTGTGTGTGTGTGTCTGTGTGTGTGTGTCTGTGTGTGTGTCTCTGTGTGTGTGTGTCTCTGTGTGTGTGTCTGTGTGTGTGTGTCTGTGTGTATGTGTGTGTGTCTGTCTGTGTGTCTGTCTCTGTATGTGTCTGTGTGTCTGTCTGTGTGTCTGTGTGTGTCTCTCTCTGTGTGTGTCTCTCTCTGTGTCTCTGTGTGTGTCTCTCTCTCTGTATGTGTCTGTGTGTGTGTCTCTCTATCTCTCTGTGTGTGTGTCTCTCTCCCCACTCCCTTCCTCCTCGTGTCACCTCCTCCTCCTCCTACCTTCCTCTTCCTGCTCCCTCGGCGTCTCCCCTCGTCCCTCGTCTCCCCCACAACTCTCCCCTCCTGCTCCCCAAAACCTCCTCCCCCCGTCTCTCCCGCCGGCGTCTCCCTCCCGCTCACCCACCCGCTATGTCACCCAACCAGCCCGCGGTGTCTCACGGGGTTCCTCCCCGTGTCTCTCCCACCGTGTCTCCCCCCGTGTCTCCCCGTGTCTCTCTCCCTGCGTCTCCCCCCGTGTCTCTCTACCCCGCGTGTCTCTCCCCGTGTCTCTCCCCGTGTCTCCCCCCGTGTCTCCCCGTGTCCCCCCCCCCCCCCCCCGCGTCTCTCTCTCTACCCCCGTGTCTCTCCCCGCGTCTCTCTACCCCCGTGTCTCTCCCCGTCTCTCCCCGCGTGTCTCGTCTCCCCCCGTGTCTCTCTCTACCCCCGTGTCTCTCCCCGTGTCTCCCCGTGTCTCTCCCCGTGTCTCTCTCCCCGCGTGTCTCTCCCCCCCAGTGTCTCTCCGTGTCTCTCCCCCAGTGTCTCTCCCCCCCCCAGTGTCTCTCCGTGTGTCTCTCCGCGTGTCTCTCCCCGCGTGTCTCTCTACCCCCCGCGTCTCTCTCTCCCCCAGTGTCTCCCCGCGTCTCTCTCTCCCCCAGTGTCTCTCTCCGCGTCTCCCCCCGTGTCTCTCCCCGTGTCTCTCTCTACCCCGTGTGTCTCTCTACCCCCGCGTGTCTCTCCCCCCGCGTCTCTCCCCGTCTGAGCCCTTCCGCGCCCAGTTCCGCCTTCACGGAATCACCCCCCACCAACCCCCCCCCCCTGCAACGACGAATCGATTCCACTAATCGGCAACACGACTCAAATGGAATCGATTCCCTCCAAACACCCCCCCCCCCATCCCCCCATTTGCACTTACGAATCGATTCTGTAAAAGTCAACAACACGGAAGAAATAGAATCGATTCTCTACCCCCGCACCACCCCGAATCGATTCTCTCACCCACGCCGCCCCCCACCCACACTTGCACTTCCGAATCGATTCTGAAAATCGCCGATACGATTAAAATGGAATCGATTCTCTGCCCACCAACACCGCCTCTCAGCCCCCCCCCCGGACTTGCACTGCCGAATCGATTCTGAAAATCGCCGACACGATTAAATTGAATCGATTCTCTCCACACATCCCAATGTATCTCAATGTAAATTCTTAACAGGCGAAGCGCTTCCACGTGGTACGATTACGGAATCGATTCATCAGGATTTGTTTTTATATAAAACTAACGATTCCCCACTCCCCTATAATACGGCGTCACGAGAGGAATCGATTTTCTACATAAATCGATAGAATCGATAGAATCGAGTAACACGAACGCATCGCGCGCCCGTCAACGTTCCGTTTCGCAAGGAATCGATTCGATTCGTCGGGTTGTAAAGCAAAAAAGCGAATCGACAAATCGATTCGGAAGTGAAATTCGCTTTTCCTTTGGATTTCCAGACGAATTGTAGCAGCCAGTCCAAGTCTCAATGCAATTCGTAGCGTGTCCTAATCATCGGTGGAGTTAAGGGAAAACCCATGGATTGTACCCCTATAGACTCACGTGACCACACACCTCCTGTCTGTACCAGTGTGCTGATCTTAAAGGTGCATTGAACAATTATAATACTCCAATTGATGCTCCTGCTGCTGTTGTGGAGTGACTCATGCAGCCAGCTATGGCTGCAGGGTTTTTGGTGGTACATGTTGTTTGTGTCATTTATTGTGAAAATTCCGTGAGTGGGTGAGTGTTTGGGTTGGTGAGTGGGTGAGTGTTTGGGTTGGTGAGTGAGTGGTTGGGTGAGTGAGTGGTTGGGTGAGTGAGTGGTTGAGTGAGTGGTTGATTGAGTGAGTGGTTGGGTGAGTGAGTGGTTGGGTGAGTGAGTGGGTGAGTGTTTGGGTTGGTGAGTGAGTGGTTGGGTGAGTGAGTGGTTGATTGAGTGGTTGATTGAGTGAGTGGTTGGGTGAGTGAGTGGGTGGTTGAGTGTTTGGGTTGGTGAGTGAGTCACGAAAGCTTCAAATCTAGGATCACTGTTTCATTGCTTTCATGGCTATATTATTGGTGATTTCTAAAAGTGTATTGGTTTAGCCATGTTTGTGTTCTTGTAGTACGGAGTTAGACTGATGGCCTTAATCTAAGTTGTCTTGTGGTGGTTGTTGTTTGACTTGCATCCCACTGGGATTTTTGCACACAGCATTGGTGTGTAACGGTGATTTTTTTCTGCAATATTTTGCTGTCTTTTCTTGGATTTCTGTTTGCACTCAGTCACATATTCACTTTAAGATGTTTTTTGTTCATGTTTTTGTTTTTTTGTTTGTTGCGGTTGCACCCAATTCAAGAGCTGAATGGCTCACAGGGCTCTGTACCTAATACATGAGCTTGAACTTACACTACAACGCGTTACGCTTCCACGTGTGCGGGTCACGTGACAGAGGTGACGTCACAGCTCACCTGTCGTGCAAAAAATATTTGCATTATTGAGCTCCCTCCCCCCCAAAAAAAACACAAAAGTGTATTTTTATAATTTGTGCATGGTGTACAGTCTGGAAAGTACCCACATGGAAAATTTCAAGTTTGTTGCATGTCGCGAAGTACCATAAACATTTTGAACAAACACATATTCATAACTTTGCCTTTTATATACTAAAAATATGGAGATTCTAGATTTGAAGCTTTCGTGACTGCACGGATTCATATTCTTAGGTTTTTTCGGTAAAGTCACGTAGGTAAAAAATTAAAATTATTTTACTTTTATTAATTTTAACGTTTCACCTACGTGACTTTACCGAAAAAACTTAAGAATATAAATATGGAGATGTGGACACCGTTATATTAAAATCGCTTTTCGGAAATAAAAAACCCCACTTGTCACGGGCGGGCCACCGTAGAATGACGTCACGCCACGTGCTTTCGTCAGGGAGCTGGTCGGTGATTGCGTCATCGTGTTATTCTTTTGGGGGTTGGCAGTTCCACATGACGTCATCGTGTGTAAAGTGACGTCATCGCGTGTCTAGTGACGTCATCGTGTGACCAAGTGAGATCTTCTCGTATTTAGTGACGTCATCGTGTGACCAAGTGAGATCTTCTCGTATTTAGTGACGTCATCGCGTGTCTAGTGACGTCATCGTGTGACCAAGTGAGATCTTCTCGTATTTAGTGACGTCATCGTGTGACCAAGTGAGATCTTCTCGTATTTAGTGACGTCATCGCGTGTCTAGTGACGTCATCGTGTGACCAAGTGAGATCTTCTCGTATTTAGTGACGTCATCGTGTGACCAAGTGAGATCTTCTCGTATTTAGTGACGTCATCGCGTGTCTAGTGACGTCATCGTGTGACCAAGTGAGATCTTCTCGTATTTAGTGACGTCATCGTGTGACCAAGTGAGATCTTCTCGTATTTAGTGACGTCATCGCGTGTCTAGTGACGTCATCGTGTGACCAAGTGAGATCTTCTCGTATTTAGTGACGTCATCGTGTGACCAAGTGAGATCTTCTCGTATTTAGTGACGTCATCGCGTGTCTAGTGACGTCATCGCGTCTAGTGACGTAATCGCGTTGGGGCGGAATTTTATCCAAAACCGAAGGGGGGGAGGGGGAGTTTTTTTGCCGAGTGACGTCATCGTGTCGGCGCAATCTTTACGTGACGTCATTAGTTAATGGGCGGCGCTGACGGCTAATTAGCGGGAGATGTTTTATGACGTCACCATGTAGGCGGGGCTTGTCATGTAAATTTTATTTCTTAGGGCTCAAAGTGATATCCAATTTTAAAAAATTTAATTGAAGCCTGTAGTGCTATGGGGCCATCCATAAATGACGTCACGCACCTTGGGGGGCGGGGGGGTCAGACATTTGTGACGATGTGTGACGTCATATCAAATTGCACAACTTTAAATAAATATATAATTGTTATAACAACACTCCTACAACATCAGCGCCACATTAAGGATCCTTTCTAGCACTACAGGATCCTTTATAGGGGCCGTCCATAAATGACGTCACGCAATTTTAGACGAATTTTTGACCCCCCCTCGTCACACGACGTCACAAAAAGTCAGACCCCCCCTCAAATATGACGTCACCACTCAAATATGACGTCACACCGCTTTGACCCCCCCCCTCGTCACATGACGTCACAAAAAGTCAGACCCCCCCCTCAAATATGACGTCACATTTTGAAAAAAAAACATGCTTCAAATCGCTTTGAACTATTGTCATTGTGGTGCGTATTTAATGTGGCGCTGCACTATGATGTTGTAGGAGAAAAGATTGATCAAAAAGTCTATTTAATTAAGTAGAACGTGTTGTCTATATTTATTTAAAGTTGCGCATTTTGATGTGACGTCACATTTCTCAACCCCCCCCCCCCACTAGGTGCGTGACGTCATTTACGAACGGCCCCTATGCAACAACCGAAGCCTAAGAATCTCGCGTGAAATCTCGCGAGACTTGCCGCGTTGCTTTCGCCCCGCCCCCCCCCCGCTTGAGTTCTCGCGAGACTTGCCGCGTTGTTTTTGCTCCCCGCTTGAGTTATCGCGAGACTTGGCTACGGTTGCCCGTGGCAACGCAGCGACGCCTCGGGCCTAGTCACTGCAATCTGCAGCCTGTCTGCGTCTCTTTAATTTGATTAAGTTAGTGGCCGTGAAATTTCTTTAACTTTGTCCCCCCGTTTAAAATAATGCCGCCCAAGAAGAAAAAGGGAAAGGGGGGAAAGGGCAAGAAGAAGAAGAATGAGAAGACATCAGGTTTATTTACGATTAATTATGATTCGGTGTTCAATTTATGTGAATCGTGATATGTTTGCTGAACTTTTTTTGCACCGTACTTAGTGAACTATGTTTGTTGAACTTATTTCGCACAGTACTTAGTGAACTGTGACATGTATGTATGTTTAAGTACTTTCGAACAGTACTTAGCGAATCGTAACATGTATGTATGCTGAACTTTTTTCGCACCGTACTTAGTGAACTATGTTTGTTTAACTTTTTTCGCACCGTACTTAGTGAACTATGTATCTAGATTTGAAGTAGTATATAGTGTATAGTAGTATCGAACTATATTTGTTGAACTTCTTTTGCACCGTACTTAGTGAACCGTGCTATGTATGTATGTTGAGGAGTTCCCAGGACGCACTCGGAGACGCAGGTAAGGTTTAGGGGCTTTCGCCAAAGGTGTATTAGAGCTGTTAAAATCTAACACAAGGGTACACAACAGAGGTCGCAAACGGGTTTTGATTCCTTACCCGTACCCGGCCGCACCAGGGTCGCAAACGGGTACCCGTACCCGGCCATACCCGTACCCTACCCGGCCGGGTACGGGTACCCATACGCTACCTGTACCCTACCCGAAATGAGTGACAAATGGTTACTCACCAGTGACTCACGGCCTACCCCTACCCGTACCCGAACGCACCAGGGTCGCAAACGGGTACCCGTACCCGTACCCGGCCATACCCGTACCCTACCCGTACCCGGCCGGGTACGGGTACCCGTACGCTACCCGTACCCTACCCGAAATGAGTGACAAACGGTTACTCACCAGTGACTCACGGCCTACCCGTACCCGTACCCGGCCACACCAGGGTAGCCGGGTATCGGGTAGGGTACGGGTATCGGGTACCCGGTTGCGACCTCTGGTACACAACTCCCAGGGGTTAGGGGTCCTATGCTGAGTCCTGGTCCCTGCCGGCTAGCTCCGGTCTCTCTCTCTCCGTGTCGGACCGGCTACCACCGGCCTCCTTCCAGACTCACGACTTCGTCCCTCTACACCTGGTTCCCTCTCTACCCTAGTGATAGGTTTTTACCCTTTCAACTGGTACAAAAACTGACACCTTTATACAAGGCATCATGTTTGCAATAACCACAACACAAGCAGTCAAAATGTAAACAAAAAGAAACAACTCTGATGATGATAATGATATCCACTGTCCTTGAAGTTGATTGGTCCACACACGAGACAGCTTTTCTTAGAGCCTAGTCTCCATTGGTGTTGGACCAGATGACGCCAAAAGGCGTACAACTCAAAAACAGCGCACTATCAGAGTATACAGGCAATTGGTAAAAAGGTGTCAGTTTTGTTGCCAGATAGAAGGGTAAAACACCAATTATGATATATTTTACTGGCAAATGAGGTACCAATGGTGTAAATGCTTACCCCGAGCTCTCATACTCTGATGGTGCATTGTCTTTGAGTTGTGTGCCTTTTGGCGTCATCTGGTCCAACCCATGTGAGACTAGGCTCTAAGGAAAGCTGTCTCGGGTGTGGACCAATCAACTTCAAGGACAGTGCATACATTATCAGAGTTTTGTTTTTTGTTTGCATTATGACTGCAGGTATTGTGGTCTATGCAAACATGACTCCTCGTAAAAAAAGGTGTCAGTTTTGTTGCCAGATAAAAGGGTACAAAAACAATTATCATATTTTTTACTGGCAAATGAGGTACCAATGGTGTAAAACTTAAACTAAACTTAAACTATTTCTATTTGACCAGGTAAGGCCCGCTGCGCTACAGTGTATAGCTCTTTGTCAGAAGCGAACTGGCGATCACAAATAATAGCTCAATGAGGTGGCGTATTATCGCGTGGACATTTACAGCAGCCAAATGGCTCCAAAACGCCTGACGTTGATTTTAAATGTGGAGGGTGAAAAGCCGGAGAAAAATCCAATATACAGGCTTCGTCAGTCAGGGTCGGGATTGAACCCGCGACCTCTTGTATACGAGGCGGGGTAGTTAACATCTCGTAACACTTTGCAGTGTGGACCCGGACACTGAGACCGTGTGGTGTGGTTCGGTTGCAGATTCCACCGAGGAGAAGTTTGAACGTTCGCGACGGGAGGTGGAGATTTTGAAAGACCACCTGGGTAAGGATGACGACACGGCAGCCCCCGTCCGCTTTTGGCAACGCGTTCAGTCCATCGTACACTTGGGAAATTCCCGTCAAGACACCAGATGTAACGGAGAATGTTTATAATGACGTGTCTGTGTGTAGTATTAGGTTTTTACCCTTTAAACTGGTACAAAACTGACACCTTTATACAAGGCATCATGTTTGCAATAACCACAACACAAGTAGTCAAAATGCTTGTGTTGTGGTTATTGCAAACATGATGCCTTGTATAAAGGTGTCCGTTTTGTACCAGTTTAAAGGCTAAAAACCTACTACTGTATTTTGCCACTGGTAAAGAAGATGTCTCATAGTGTGTCTGTGTGTGTCGACCTTGTCTCGCACCGTACGTCGCCAGCCGCGCTCTTCGGATGTTCGGGGGAAGGGCAAAAAACTAAACAGGAAAAGCAGTTCTAAAGAAATGAGCTTTCAATCGAGATGATTTAGAAGTGCCATAGCTCCAAGTGGCTTCATAACATCGCCGGCAAGAGCGTTCCAGACGGCCGCAGAAGTGCACCTGAAATCAGAATATTTTATTCATACTGCCGGAATCCGATGAGCTTTCAAGCTCGTATTCACAGATGTCCAGTCCCGGCACGGGGTAAGACAGTAACAACAAACACAATACAACAACACGATAGGATAAGTCCAAGAAAGGGAACCAAATCACCCGACACACACACAAAGCGCCGCGCGACGCCTGTTCATGACGAATGTAGCGCTCCCTCGTGTCGATGAAGACCTCCGCACAACAGCGATGGCGTTACGTGGGCCAACATCTCCTAGCCACCGTGATGATAATGAAAGAGAGACACGCAAACTCCAAATGTACAGCAGGCGTCAGGGTCGGGATCGAATCCACGGCCTCCTGCATACCAGGCGAGGGTGTTAACATATTCTAGCCACCGTGTCGCATTACTGCCATCTGTGCTGCTGCTGCTGTTGTTGTTGCTGTTGTTGTTGTTCCAGCATTGCAGAGGGAGGGTTGTAGGAGAGCTGAGTTTGGGAGGGAGACATGGAGAGGCAAAGCAACGCAATTGGAGACAGAACTGGAGGAGAAGAAAGAGGAAGAGGATGCAGTCAGTTCTGGTCTGTACTGCACTCCGTGCAAAGTCACACTTCGTCAATCTACACTACATCACACGACACTTAATCGCTACCCCATAGCGCAACAAGGCTGAGTTTAAGCACGAGACTGATCCTTGTCTCACCGAGCCATCGCCCGGTCACACCAAGGTTACCCGCAAGACTTTATGAACTTCACTGCACATCCTGCCGCACCACCACCGCCGCTGTGTGCCGTGTCACCGCCGTGCAGAGGTCGCAAACGGGTTTTGATTCCTTACCCGTACCCGTACCCGGCCGCACCAGGGTCGCAAATGGTTACCCGTACCTGTACCCGGCCGGGTACGGGTACCCGTTCCCTACCCGTACCCGTACCCTACCCGAAATGAGTGACAAACGGTTACTCACCAGTGACTCACGGCCTACCCGTACCCGTACCCGGCCGCACCAGGGTCGCAAACGGGTACCCGTACCCGGCCGGATACGGGTAGCCGGGTATCGGGTAGGGTACGGGTATCGGGTACCTGGTTGCGACCTCTGCCGCTGTGCGTTTGTGCGTCTCACCGACAGAGCTCACGCGCCAGTACAAGACGATGCACGGCGACCTGTCTCTACGCGTGCGGCAGCTGGAGTCGGACGTGCAGTACCTGCAGAGCCAGCTGGGTAATCAGACACATTTAATTTAATAACATTTTCATTTATTTGGTATAGCCTTGTGAGCTATTCGGCTCTTGAATCGGGTGCAACCGCAACACACAAAAAACAAAAACATGAACAAGAAAACAACTTAAAGTGACTATGTGCAAACATTAAAATCCAGGAACAAATAGCAAATTAATCTTCTTGGTTCTTTTGGTAAAGTCACGTAGAAGGGAAATAATAATGTAAATTCCTTTGTCAAGGCGCTCTCCTCCTCTAACCCCTGCTTAAATATACGCCGCCAAGCTTGGTTGTGTTCATTCGGACACTGTCTTTCCGACAGCCCTGTTCTTCACCTGAGGACGGCTGCTTGTGTTGTGGCCGAAACGTCGTGAGAATTGTATTATTTTATTATGTTGTATTTTTATTATTTTATGATTTCCCTTCTACGTGACTTTACCGAAAGAACCAAGAAGATGAATCCCTGCAGTCACGAAAGCTTTAAATCGAAAAATAGCAAATTCTTTCAGAAAAAGCACCATACACCAACGCTGTGTGCAAAAATCCCACAGCGATACACTGCAAGATACCTGTGGTAGCAATGATATGAAAGGGCACCATGGTGGCGAGATGTTAAATAGCTCGCCCGGTATACAGAAGGTCGTCGGTTCGAAGCCGACCTTGACGATGCCAGGTTCATGGTGACATGTGAATGGCAATAATTTACTGATGCCACAGTGGCGAGATGTTAACTACTTCACCTGGTATACAGGAGGTCGTGGGTTCCATCCTGATGCTGACGATGCCAGGTTAATGGTGGCATTTTTATAATAATGATTTATGAGTTCCACAGTGGCGAGATGTTAACTACCTCCCCTGGTCTACAAGAGGTCGTAGGTTCGATGCCTGTACATTTGGAGTTTGCATATCTCCCTCCCCGTGGTCATGTGGATCTTTCTCCCGGCCGTCCCGTTTTTCCCTCCACATTCGCAATCAGCATCGCGCGTTCGTGGTATTTAGCTGCAAGAGATTTCCACGCGATGATGAGCCGGCAACTTCCTTGAGCTATCGTTTGCGATGGCCAACGTCGCTTCTGAAAACGTGCAATGCAACTCAGTGGGGCCTTGCCTGGTAAAATAACAAAAAGTGTTTAATAGTTCAGTTTAAACAGTGGTGGTACCATTGTCGTCATCATCCTCATCACCGTCGTCAAGAGGTCGCAAACGGGTTTTGATTCCTTACCCGTACCCGTACCCGGCCGCACCAGGGTCGCAAATGGTTACCCGTACCTGTACCCGGCCGGGTACGGGTACCCGTTCCCTACCCGTACCCGTACCCTACCCGAAATGAGTGACAAACGGTTACTCACCAGTGACTCACGGCCTACCCGTACCCGTACCCGGCTGCACCAGGGTCGCAAACGGGTACCCGTACCCGGCCGGGTACGGGTAGCTGGGTATCGGGTAGGGTACGGGTATCGGGTACCCGGTTGCGACCTCTGCCGTTGTCACAGGCTCCAGGAGAAGGGGTGGAAGCCACTTTCGCTGCGCGGACAGTAACAGTAGCAGCGGTAGCATTGTTGTCAATGTTAGTAGCAGCAACAGTAGCAGCATCAGCAGATTAATCGCCAGCGGTAACACCCACGGCAGCGGCAGCAGAAGTCAGAAAGAGTCGGATATTTTCTGCTCAAATGAACTCTAAACCAGCGGTGGAAATGTCGATGTTGATTCTAAATGTGGAGGGAAAAACTGGAGGACCCGGAGAAAAATCACGGGGAGAGAAAGAGAGGGAGAGACATTCAAACTCCAAATATACAGCAGCAGGAGTCGGGGTCAGGATCGAACCCACGACCTCCTGTAGACCAGGCGAGGTAGTTAACATCTCCTAGCCACCGTGATGATGATGAGAGAGAGAGACACGCAAACTCCAAATATACAGCAGCAGGCGTCAGGGTCGGGATCGAACCCACGGCCTCCTGTAGACCAGGCGAGGTAGTCAACATCTCCTAGCCACCGTGATGATGATGAGAGAGAGAGAGAGACATTCAAACTCCAAATATACAGCAGCAGGCGTCAGGGTCGGGATCGAACCCACGGCCTCCTGTAGACCAGGCGAGGTAGTTAACATCTCCTAGCCACCGTGATGATGATGAGAGAGAGAGAGACACGAAAACTCCAAATATACAGCAGCAGGCGTCAGGGTCAGGATAGAACCCACGACCTCCTGTAGACCAGGTGAGGTAGTCAACATCTCCTAGCCAACCTGATGATGATGAGAGAGAGAGACATCCAAACTCCAAATACAGCAGCAGCAGGCGTCAGGGTCAGGATAGAACCCACGACCTCCTGTAGACCAGGCGAGGCGGTTAACATCTCCCAGCCACTGAGGTAGCGGCAAGCCGCACTCGCAACAGCAGCCGCGGCCACTCTCGCCGGCGTCAGCAGGAACGTCAAATAATGACCAGCGGAGTCAGCATCGTTACTCACCAACGCACACCCACGCAGCACGCCCGGCTCAGTCATTCACACGCGGAATCACTCACACAATCAACCACCCACGGCACCAACATGCCCTGTGCACGTGTACCCGTGTGTCTCGGTGGAGCGCAGTGGTCAGCGCTACGCTGCGCTACGAACCCGGCGACCCCGAGTTCGATTTCCGCTCACGGCCAACACCGGTGTCGATTATCTGGGCCTCTCCTAGGTCGACTCAGCCTCAAATGAGTACCTGGTGCGGTATATAAAAAAAAAACATCGCCACTGGGGAGACAAAGGCGGCTGGGTGTGGTGCTGGTCACCCACCACCTCGTGCGCCGTTCCGGCCTTCAAAGGTGATCGCGAACAGCACTTGCCCCAGCAGTCTGTTAAGGCTACACGGGGGATCTTTGTGTCTCTGTGTGGGGAGCGGTGGCGCAACCGTTAGCGCACTGCGCATCAAACCCTGCAACTCCCGAGTGAGATTCCAACACGCTCGCTCGGTCATTCACAAGCGGAATCGCTCACACACTCAACCACCCCTTGGGCAACATGCCGAGTGCACATGTGCGGATCTCTGTGTGGGGAGCGGTGGCGCAGCGGTTAGCGCACTGCGCTTCAAACCCAGCAAAGCCGAGTTAGATTTCGACTCGTGGCCAACGTCAGCGGTAAATAATCTGAGCCGGTCCTTCAATGAATACCCTGTGTAAAACATCGCCACTGGGGAGACAAAGGCGGCCGGGCGTGGTGCTGGCCACCCACCCCCTCGTGTGCTGTTTCGGCCTTCATAGGTGCTGCTCGCTAACAGCACTTGCCCCTACAGTCTGTTAAGGCTACACGGGGGATCTTTGTCTTTATTTGTGTGTGTGTGTGTACACGTGTGTGTGTGTGTATACACGTGTGTGTGTGTGTGTCAGTGTGTATACACGGGGAGCGGTGGTGTAGCGGTTAGCGCGCTGCGCTGTGAACCGCTCACGGCCAACACCAGTGACGATTATCTGAACCGGTCCTGGGCCTCCCCTAGGTCGACTCAGCCTTAAATGAGTACCTGGTGCGGTGTGTAAACATCGCCACTGGGGAGACAAAGGCGGCCGGGCGTGGTCCTGGCCACCCACCCCCTCGTGTGCCGTTCCGGCCTTCATAGGTGCTCGCTAACAGCACTTGCCCCTACAGTCTGTTAAGGCTATACGGGGGATCTTTGTCTTTGTATACACGTGTGTGTGTATACACGTGTGTGTGTATACACGTGTATATGTGTGTGTGTGTGTGAGATAGAGGAGAGTCAACGCAGTGTGAGGGAGGAGCGTGCGGAGCGAGAGAAACTCTCCCGGGAGAAGCTGCTGCTGCAGACGGAACTTCAGGACAAAATGGAACTCATGGAGGAGGAGTACGAGAGAGCTTTCCACGTGAGAACCACTCGTACACACTCTCACTCACTCACTCGTACACTCACTCACTCTCATATACACTCACTCACTCACACTCACTCGTACACACTCACTCACTCATACACTATCACTCACACTCACTCGTACACACTCACACTCATACACTCTCACTCATTCATACACACTCACTCATACACTCTCACTCACTCACTCATACACACTCACTCATACTCACTCGTACACACACTCACTCACTCGTACACACTCACTCGTACACACTCATACACACACTCACTCACTCATACACTATCACTCACACTCACTCACTCACACTCATACACTCTCACTCACTCATACACTCTCACTCACTCACTCATACACACTCACTCATACACACACTCACTCACTCGTACACACTCACTCGTACACACTCATACACACACTCACTCACTCATATACACTCACTCATATACACTCACTCGTACACACTCACTCACTCATACACACTCACTCATACACTCACACTCACTCATACACTCACACTCACTCACTCATTCACACTCACTCACTCATACACACTCATACACACTCACGCATATACACTCACTCACTCACACTCACTCACTCACTCACACTCACTCGTACACTCAGCTGTGTAGGTCTTTTTCAGAAGCGACCTGCCCGATAACGATAGCTCACCGAAGTGGCCGATCATCACGTGGACATCCATAGCAGTAGCCAAATACTGACATAACGAAGGGGGCCTTCGAACATTGGTTAAACTAAACTAATTTATCTGAGCAGGTAAGGCCTTCCGAGCCGATGTTACTCCTTTTCAGAAACACCACAATCATCATCATCATCACGTGGACATTGATAGCAGAAGCCAAATGACTGTTGATACTCCTACTGATGCTCCTGCTGTTGTGGAGTGACTCGTGCAGCCAGCTATGGCTGCAGAGTTTGGTGGTGGTACATGTTGTTGACGTCGTTTATTGTGAAAATTCGGTCACAGTTCCTATGATCACTGTTTCATTGCTTTTATGGCTTTATTTTGGTGATTTTCGAAAAGTTTTTTGGTTTGGCCATGTTTGTTTGTTGTAGTACGGAGTTAGACTGATGGCCTTAATCTAAGTTGTCTTGTGGTTGTTGTTGTTGTTTGACTTGCATCCCACTGGGATTTTTGCACATTTTTGTGTACGGTGCTTTTTCTGCAATATTTTACTGTCTTTTCTTGGATTTTCTGTTTGCACTCAGTCACATATTCACTTTAAGATGTTTTTTGTTCATGTTTTTGTTTGTTGCGGTTGCACCCGATTCAAGAGCCGAATGGCTCACAGGGCTCTATACCTAATACATGAACTTGAACTTGACTCGAAACGCATGGGCGATGATTCTCAATGCGGAGGGGAAAACCGGAGGTCCCCGAGAGAAATCCACGCGGACCACGGGGAGAGAGAATGATGACGGCATTTATTTGTAACGCGCCAGATTTTGCAGACGAGTCAACAAATCGTAGGCGCGGAGCCAAGCTCAGGGCTGCTCGAAAGCCCTGACCCAACACAGATAGAGGAGGCCCTTAGACGTGTATGTCTCAAACGTTAGAGTGTTGAGGATGATATTTACTGACTAAAGCGGCAGCGCCTCGGTGGTGTGATGTCATCTTCCTCGCCTGCTATGCAGGAGGTCAGGGGTTCGATCCCGACCCTGATGCCTGTCTTGTACTCTGCACTACTATTGTGTTTTTGTCACTGTTTGTCGTTGAAACGTTCTTACCCCATTCCCCTACTGGACATTGTGAAAATAAGAGTTTTACAGCTAATCGGATTCTTTCTGGAGTATAAAAAATAAATCTGATTCTGCTACAGGCGTCAGGGTTGTGTTTAAACCCACGACCTCCTGTATAGCGGGCGAGGTAGCTAACATCTCGCCACCGCGACAACCTGTTGTTGTTGTTGTTGTGTGTCCCCCACCCCCGTCCCACCGCCCCGGTGTGGCGGTACAGGCGGCGCTGGACTCCCTCGTGTCTCGCCTGGACACGGCGAAGGCGGCGTGGGAGCCCCGCGTGGCGCTGCTCCACGCCAAGCACAAGCGCACGCTGCAGCAGCACGGCCTGGCACCCCTCTCCCTGTAGCCGCCACGGAAACCGCAGCGCCCCCTGGAGGCACCACACCGCCACAGCGCTGCACATAACCCAGCACTTCCTGTACCCACAATGCCCACCCAGCCCTGTGTGTGTGTGTGTGTGCGCCGAGGTCACGTCTCTGTGCGACAGAGATCGCAAACGGGTTTTGATTCCTTACCCGTACCCGGCCGCACCAGGGTCGCAAACGGGTACCCGTACCCTTACCCGGCCGTGTACGGGTAGGGTACGGGTACGGGTACCCGATTGCGACCTCTGGGATGAAGCCATGTTGCAGGCGCGGGTGGGTTGATTCTAGGAACTTGAATTGTG